TCTGCCGGCCATCAGGGATCCACACCTAAAATGAGCCCTCCTAGGAAAGCAAGGGCTCCTTCCAGCCCCCGGGGAGGACTTTAGACTCCAGAACAACGTTGCTTATAGGACACAGCGCCCCAGAACTCTGCACCTTCATTCTGGGTGTGTCCCCCCCAGGTCCTGGGCTCTTTCCGTGTTTGAGGGTTGGCTGCTTAGCCCCTGCAGGCACACGGCTGATCGTCACGTTGGGAAAAGAGCCCCCCGGCTGTCCCACCGCATTCCCCACTCAGGCACTGGTCGGGCCGACCAGCGTGGGCACTGCAGCCCGAGCAGCGATGGGCTCATCTCTGATGGCAACGAGGGGAGACGCATCTGGAAACGTGTCTGCTAGCCCATGACCTCAGTACGCGTCCTCGGCTTCCAGGGCTGCCCCACCCTGGCAGCAGGAACAGAAGGGTCGTGTTCTGTGTGCTGCCAAGGGCGCCTTACTGCGCCCAAGTTCACGGGGATCCCGCAGAGGCTCCTTTGAGAAGAAGCCACGCCACCCAGGACATCCTGCCTGAGACTGACCAGGCGCCTCTGGGAGCCAAGGAAAGCGATGTATGTGGTTCTCGAGAACCATCTTCTACCATGTGATCATCTCCCAGAGGACAGTAGCCCCTTAGATCTTTAAACATATCCATCCGTTGTGTTCTGAAGTGTGGAAGTGTGGAAGGCGATTAGAGAGGTTGTTAAATCAACCCCCTTGGCTTACAAAGGGGGAAACTGAGTCTGAGCAATTAGGTGACAAGCCCAGGGTAGTGTGAGTTTTAATGTTGCTGGTCTCATACCCTCTACCCACTCCATCCCACAGTGCATTTCTGCTAAAGAAACCATTATGCTCAGAGTTGCATGGATTGAAAAGAATGAACTAGATAGACCTTGAAATAATCCCAGAGTGTGGATGAGTGCTGGGTTCTTGTTGGTGTCCAGGAAGTTGCAGGCCCACAAAACTTGTGCACTCTGCCTCTATTTTGGGAACTTTTCAGGGTCATGTAGTTGGGCTTTTTTTTTTTTTTACATGTCTGATAGAAAATTGCCTCTTGGATCCCACCTTCGGTTGGTGGTAGTACATGTCCGTTCTTCCCCGCACTAGCCCTCCAGGGAGCCAACTCCCACCATGGCCACACCAGAGCGAAGCACGTCGAGTCTACACGACTATCCGAGTTTGGCACTTGCTGGGTCGACGCAGTTTGCTGGAGCCTCCAGCTAGTTCAGAGACTGGCTCCGTGGCAGAGGGAAGGGACCAGCCGCCTGCCACCCAAGTCTGAGAAGGTCCTGGTGGGAGGACGCAGAGCTATGAAGGAAGGGACTCCTCCGTGCTGTCTTGTGCTTGCAGAGGGGGCTCCACGACCTGCCTGCACACCGTGGGGTCGCTGCTCCCACTGCCCAGTAAGAAGAGGCTTCACCACTGGTGTGCAGAGAGCAGAGGGGTCCAGGGGTTCATCTGGCTGGTTCTGGATAAAGCTTCCTACAGCCAACCCTGAAACCCCAAAGAAGGCTTCCCTCTTCTGAACATGACATTCATCTCCAGGTAATCTGGACCAAAAAAAAAAAAAAAAAAAGTCTCCACTTCCTATGATTCTCCTGCCATCAATTGGCTTTGCTTGTCGAGCTATTTCTAAATTTTGTTTTGGACAGGGAGCTTAATAAAGATGATGGAAAGAAAAAAAGAAAAGAACATTCAACATACTGTCTTAAGTTTACTCATGTGACACTTGAAATGCATATAAAATGGCATTTTGTTTCTGGTCTGGTTGTAAAAGTCATCCACGCTTGCTGTAGGAAACGTGGAACATACAGGGGGTAGTGAAATTGGAAAATAGGTATGCATAACCCCATCACACAGACACGCTCTGCCAGCTCGTAAGAGCAGGACCCCGTCCACTGACATAATCTCACTACCTGGAATAGGGCCTCGTGCATAGTAAGTGCTTCATAAACATTTGATGAATGGATAATGTTACTATTTTGGTGTATTCATTTTCAGTCCTTTCCTTCTGCCTATGTTACATGATTATTGTGAGATCTATTCATAGCATCTTTTTTTTTTTTTTACCTACCATGATAATACAACCATATGTATATTACAAAAATTCTTTATAAACATGATTTTTAAAGATGATTTATGTTTGTATATACCTCGCTTACTTATTTATCTTCATCTTTTTAGAGATTTGGGGGAAAATCCACATTTCAAAGGTACTTTGCAAATAAGGCTGCACTTTAGACGAGAAGACGTATTGGCTGTCTTACTAGGTTTCTCTATGTTCAGCGAACCCAAAAGAGCTACGGAATTCACATTTAATTGTTTACTTGCATGGTGTCCCTGGAGAGCATGGAGAAGTGGGAATAATGACCCATGACATTAACCAGGCACCGACAAGGCTGGCTTTGAACAAAGGTGGGCCTCTCAGTTAGAAGAGGGCGGCAGGTACCCCTAACAGACCTCTACCCCGGAACACTTAAATACCAGGTAGCATCCAAACCGACAATAGTTTCTAGGTCCAGTGACAAATACCCAAGATTCCATACTCAGCAAATAATTTAAGTGTGACAACCACAAAATAACATTCTCAGACATGCAAATATTCAGAGAGCTTTCCATCTGCATGAGAGCTTTCTTGAGAGAGAGCTTTCCATCTGCAGAGAGATTTCTTGAGAGAAAACACACACACACACACGCATGCATACACACTCAAGGATGATGGTAGTGAGTAATGCAACCAACATAATTCAAGAATTAGTTCAAGATCATTGTGGGTAATAAAGTTATATAAAAACAGTTCTAGGCAGAGAAATAAAATAATAATACCATTATCCTCATTATTGACCTCTTTCCCTCTGTCCTTCCATCCTCTGTCCCTAAAACCCCCAAGTCATATGTTTTCTGTTCCATTGTTCACTCTGACGGAGAAATGAGTCCGAGCATACTGTTTAACATATTGCTTTATAAACTCAGCACCATGGGAGAGTGCTCCAACTTATTAGTATAAAAAAAGAGCAAGGAAAATGTGAACAATACGGCAAGAAAACGAAGAGAACCATAACCAAATATAACTTGAGAATGCTGGTTTTTAAGGCACTAAATTAAATCTTCAGAGATGGAAATCAGCAATATAATAAAATCATAATACTCTCAAGAATGCAAGGATGGTTCAATATTAAGAAACCTATTCATGTATGTTGGCGGGGATGCGGAGAAAGGGGAACCCTCCTACACTGTTGGTGGGAATGCAAGCTGGTGCAGCCACTCTGGAAAACAGTATGGAGGTTCCTCAAAAAGTTGAAAATAGAGCTACCATATGATCCAGCAATTGCACTCCTGGGTATTTACCCCAAAGACAGAGATGTAGGGATCCGAAGGGGTACGTGCACCCCGATGTTTATAGCAGCAATGTCCACAATAGCCAAACTGTGGAAAGAGCCGAGATGTCCATCGACAGATGAATGGATAAAGAAGAGGTGGTATATATATACAGTGGAATATTATGCAGCCATCAAAAGGAATGAGATCTTGCCATTTGCAACGACGTGGATGGAACTGGAGGGTATTATGTTGAGCAAAATAAGTCAAACAGAGAAAGACATGTATCATATGACCTCACTGATATGAGGAATTCTTTTTTTTTTCTTTTTTTTCTTCTTCTTATGTTAATCCCCATACATTACATCATTAGTTTTAGATGAAGTGTTCCATGATTCATTGTTTGTGCATAACACCCAGTGCTCCATGCAGAATGTGCCCTCCTCAATACCAACCACCAGGCTAACCCATCCTCCCACCCCCCTCCCCTCTAGAACCCTGTTTGTTTTTCAGAGTCCATCATCTCTCATGGTTCGTCTACCCCTCCGATTTCCCCCCTTCATTCTTCCCCTCCCGCTACCTTCTTCTTTTTTTTTTCTTAACATATATTGCATTATTTGTTTCAGAGGTACAGATCTGAGATTCAACAGTCTTGCACAATTCAATATGAGGAATTCTTAATCTCAGGAAACAAACTGAGGGTTGCTGGGTAGGGGGCGGGTGGGAGGGATGGGGTGACTGGGCGATAGACACTGGGGAGGGTATGTGCTCTGGTAAGCGCTGTGAATTGTGCAAGACTGTTGAATCTCAGATCTGTACCTCTGAAACAAATAATGCAATATATGTTAAGAAAAAAAAAAGAAGAAGAAGAAGAAGGTAGCAGGAGGGGAAGAATGAACGGGGGAAATCGGAGGGGTAGACGAACCATGAGAGACGATGGACTCTGAAAAACAAACTGAGGGTTCTAGAGGGGAGGGGGGTGGGAGGATGGGTTAGCCTGGTGGTGGGTATTGAGGAGGGCACGTTCTGCATGGAGCACTGGGTGTTATGCACAAACAATGAATCATGGAACACTACATCTAAAACTAATGATGTAATGTATGGGGATTAACATAATAATAAAAAAAAAGAAACCTATTCATGTAGCATTCATTCCACAGAAGTTTCTAAGTGCTTCCTATGCACAGAACGGGGGAACTGACTGACATGAAACACATCTACATGGCTTCCCGTTCAGGGGAGGTCTTTCCTCCATTGGTCTATCTCTGTCATCACTGATCACTCGTACTTGTTTTCTTACTTGCTGAGGGCCTTCCTCCACTAGAACAGCATTGTTCCAACATCGGTGTCCTGGCCGGCTTGTTTGCACCTGTTTCCCCAGAGCATGACTAAGAATCAGAGACCTATTGGCTGACATGGTTATTTGGCGTCTGTTGCCTTAGATCAGTATCTACACAGTCTATCTATTCACTCAATTTTTATTAAATGGGCGACTCTATCTATAGATGAATGGATGACGGTGATTCTAAATCCCTTTACAGAGCCTACAATTTACTGGTGGAGACAGACAATCCAACCAGAACTTCCATGGCCGTGCCCAAACCTCCGCTGTCTACGCATGTTTTTCTGTTCTAACTGGCTTGCTGAATAAAAGGTGGGAACTGTTTTGCAGGAAGCTTCCACAACTTCTTCCCGAGAAAAGTCTGGAAAAGTAGAAGTGCAAAGTAGTACTTTCCTGCTTCCCAAAGCCTGTCATCAAAGGACACGCAGCAATTCAACCAGTAAGTGCGTCATGGAACTGTCCTCAGGAATGAAGCCTCACTGTCTCTGAGGACCAGGAATATCAGTGACGTGGAGAGATCTGGGGGAGGGTGGGTCTCGGCTGGTTCAGTTGGATTAAACATGGCTGTGGTCTGCTCGCACTCTGGGAGTGCTTCTGTGTCCATGGCACTTAAGTGCCATGTTGGGAAGAGCCGACATAGGGGACAAAAGACAAGGGCTTTCCTCTTGCTCTGTCTTCTGACGTGCTCCTTGATTTTAGGAAGGCTACTGGCTCTCCCAAGGTCTCCAGCACCTCATCTGTCACCGGATGGGAGTGGAGGCTGAAGGATGTCAGGATTCTTGGTTACTGCAAAGAGAATAGCCCTACTCCAAAGTCAGGGCATTTGAAGAATGCAGAAAAGCATCAAGAGATGCTTTTTCTTATCACCGCATGCTGATATTAGAAATAATCCATGTTAACCTTTTCCGTTCTTCCCCTCCTATGCCTCTACATGCCTATAGAGCTCGCGTCCATGCACGCGCATACACACAGCACGACTTCATGTCCTTGGAAATTCTTCTGTAAACACCATGCCCAGTGGGTGCCTCGTATTTCATTATGTGAATGTGCCTAACCTAGTTAACCAACTCCCTAGTATTAGATAACTAATTTATTCTCCGTTTTTCACTAAGATAATCAGCATTGTTGGGTTTGTCCACGAAATTGTGCTTACGTTTGTGATGATTTTCTTCGGGAAACATACGGGGCGGTGGATGGGAGCATGGTTAGGAGTGCACACTTGCTTCCAGAACTAATGATCCATGCAACCTTGGGCAAGTGCCTTCAACTCCGTCACATATTACTCAGCTGTAGGATGCGCTCTTTAAACCATGATTGCCAAACTCATTTCCTATTTTGGGACTGCTAGTTGCTTTTTTTTTTAATCATAAGTTTTTGCTTATTTCCCCCTTTAGAATAATTTCCTGGAAATAGAATTTCAAAAGGCAACTACACCTTAGATTTTGATCTGTGCTGCCAAATTTAAGTAGCTAAGACTCCAAAAATGTGTAGGAGTACCTTTCTTCGATCATAGCCCACACCATATTAAAATTTAAGAGTATATATTTGCTGCAGATTTTTCTCTATTCCCCTCTTCTCCGCCCCGCCCCCCAACTTTTTTCTGGTCCTCTTCACACCCAGGACCGGCTACATGAGTTGCGGGGATCCGTGTAAGATGAAAGTGTGGGAATCTTGTTCAAACATTATTAAGAATTTCAAAATGGAGGCGGTGGGGCATTAAAGCCCAAGCCTAGGCCCCTCTAAGTGTGGGGTTCTGTGCGATTTCACAGGTGCATGCCCACGAAGCCAGCCTTGCTTGTGCCCTGGACGCCGAGCAGACCCTGGCCCCTGGCCCCCTGGCCCCCGTGGAGCACCACAGGAGACTGGAGGATGGAGGAGAAGCTGCTGGAGCATTTCTTCCCCGTTCCCTCTGCCTCCGTGCTGTGGTCCTGGCAGGCTGTGTCTGGCTGGGACTAGACACCAGGTCAGGGTGGCCTGCCTTCCGTGGACCCAGCACCCACTGGGCTCTGGGAAGGCACCTGCCAGTTCCTGGGTACCTGGATGCCTTCGCTGTTTTCCTAAACCCTGTCCACCCTTTGTACACGGCCCTTCATTCGTTCCTCTCAGGGGCCTCATGGGCTCGCACCTGACTGGTTCGCTGGCCCCGAAAACCAGCCTCTTTACACAGCTGCCTTAAACGTTCCTTTGTTTATCCCTTTCTCTTTTTGGGCGAGTCCACCTATTTTTCTCTCGGGTGATCAGTTTTAGCATTAATTTATAAAAAGCCTCTTAGTTACATTAATATTTGGCTGTCATATTTGTGGGACACACTTTCTTCAGTTTATTGTCTTTCTTTTAAGTCTTTTTTTAACATAAAGATAAGAATATCTTTATATAATCAAACCTATAGATTTTTTTCCTTCCTAATATAAAGTTTCTTCCACATCCAGAGGGCAATTAAATATTTGGCTATGTTTCTCTCTAATTTTTAAACAATTTGCCTTTTTTTAAAAAAGCCTACTATATCCATCATTAATGTCTGCTGTTTGATGTGAAGCAAGAATCTAAACGTGTTTTTAAGTTGGGTCCAGCACGGCTTACCGGGGGTCAGTTTCTGCCCGCCTTTCGTTGTACTCTCTCTGCTTGTTTGTTTTATCTCTTGGAAATGATGTGCGGTTAGATCTTGAAAGCAAACGTGGCCATCTCTTTAAGGAGAGACGTTCAGGCCAATGGTGTTAGCTTTACAAATAATATTTGGTTTCACTTTTCTGCTTTTTATACTTTGTTATTATCACTTGTTTGTTCCCTGCTTCTTGCTCTGGGTGTGTGCCTAAATGTTGCAGCGATTTGGAAAGTGTTTCCAATTTTTATCCCCACTACATTTGGTTTCCTTTACGTGACGTTAATTAATTAATCAGTTGGGTTTCATTAATTAAGGAATACCTGAGGCTCTATTTTCCAAGTTGCCCCCCCTTTGGAAAATGGTGTTCTGCACCCCTCGTCTCTTTCCCTCTTTATTTTTCCATTCCGTAATTCAACTTCACCGTAACTTGCAAAGTCGTATTACTATTGCCCAATCATCACAATGTACAGTTTCCCTTTCAAGAGTAACTTTACCACGTTTTCAATGAACTCAATCAATGCTGTATGCCTAATTTGCGATGGTAATCTTGACCTGTTTCCTTGTGGCGGGAGCACGTCCACGAGCCATTTGCAGACCAGTCCGTGCTTAGGGGACCCGCTCTGTCCGGACCCCGGGGCCTGCGTCCATGCTGACCCCAGCTCCGTGGTGGGAGTGGGAACCGCTCTCGGGCTGCCTGGTGGCAGGGGGCTGGGGGGCAGAGGCGGGGCTGGAGCGGCCTGGGCTGTCCCCCTGCGCCTGCCCGTGGCTTTGGGGTGGCTCTGAGGGTGTTCTCAGCGGACATTTGCGTGTTGAGAGCGCACATGACTTCTTCCGTTTCTCCTCTTGTGCTGTAGGTGTTAATCCCTGCTGCACCGGAGACACCGATTTCCCGATGATCAAGAAATCCGCAGCTTGCACAGACCGGCAGCCCTACTCCCTCTGCAGCAGCCGGAAGTCTCTCTCTCAACAGCTCGACTGTCCAGCGGGAAGGGCTGCCGTAAGGATGGAAGGGAGAAGGGGGGCGGGGGCTGGCTAGTGGGTTTGTGTCCGTGCAACTACTGAGGGGCGGCTGGCTAGTGGGAGTGGTCAGCTCCGGGCCGAGAAAGAAGCCCACAGCCGACGGTCACCGCTGAGCGCCCCCGCGTGCGACACGTTTATGCTGTTAGGAGCTGATGCGCAGTGAGCATTCCCGGTGAGCAGACCCCGAGCCCCGGCTTTATTCTACCCGCATCCTGACTCTAGGGGGTAGACAGGACAGGTGGGGGAAGCACGCACGTGCACACGGCCAGTAGCAGACAGCCCTGGGGCTTGAAGTCGGACCTTCAGGACTCCGCAACCTGGGCTCTTAACCTTGTGCTACGGTGACGTGCTTTACCCATGGCGCCCCTAATTCAAGCTCAGAAATGAATGTACTACTATTCGCCCCGTTTTCAAGTGAAGAAACAGGAGCTTGGCCAGGTGAGGAGCTGTCTGAGTTCACACATCTCTTTTTTTTTTTTTTTTAAGATTTTATTTATTTATTTGAGAGAGAGAGAATGAGAGACAGAGAGCATGAGAGGGAGGAGAGTCAGAGGGAGAAGCAGACTCCCCGCCGAGCAGGGAGCCTGATGCGGGACTCGATCCCGGGACTCCAGGATCATGACCTGAGCCGAAGGCAGTCGCTTAACCGACTGAGCCACCCAGGCGCCCCATCTTTCTTTTTTTTTTTTAATAAAGATTTTATTTATTTGAGAGAGAATGAGAGAGAGAGAGAGCATGAGAGGGGGGAGGGTCAGAGGGAGAAGCAGGCTCCTCGCCGAGCAGGGAGCCCGATGTGGGACTCTATCCCAGGACTCCAGGATCATGACCCGAGCCGAAGGCAGTCGCTTAACCAACTGAGCCACCCAGGCGCCCTGAGTTCACACATCTTAAAACTTAAGGGACCAGGCAGAATTTGAGCCCAGCCCCGTGCGCTGCACGCCGCGTGTCCTGCCCACTGTGGGCATTAGCTGGCAGGTCGGGGGCTCAGCAGACACCAAGCTCGGTGTCCCCAGCCTCCTCCTGCCGCTTCCCTAAGCCCCGGGCGGTGTAAGCGAGTGCCACAGGCTGCCACCACCACCACCCTGCACTCCGGTCTATAGCGCCTTGTCCCTCTTCGTCTCCTCTCTAGCACTGGAAAGCCTACCCCGTCCTTCAGACCCCTGCCTAACACTACCTCTGCTGGGAGCGCTCCTGACCCACCAGCTGCATGGGCCTCACACTTTTCCCAGTGCCCGTCCTGGGCGCCTGTCCTCTTACAGCCCTCCCGCCAGCAGAGCATGAGCGCTCCGAGGGAGGGCTCCGTAGGCAAGTGATGTTTGATTCTCCCTGCAGGTACTCGGTAGTCCGGTAGATGCCTGCAAGTTTCATTTCCCTCTTCCCTTCCTTTCGTGGATTTACTATGTCTTTCATTTGCAAACTGGGAGCTTCGGGGTCCCAGGGTTAGGAAAAGATGACCCTCAAAGTGGCAGATGATTTTAACATAAGAGGAGACAGGCAGAGAATGGTTAAGTCACTTCCTCAAGGTCACCAGCTGGTCCTTGGCAGAGCCAGGGGAAGAACCCAAGGCAGCGGGGCTCGAGTCTCAGCTCTGACCCATAGTCCAAGCTCTACTGTCCCCCTCCGAGTGGCTTCCTGCAGCACACGGGGTGTCTGTCTCTCTGGCATGTTCTGCTTCTCCTGTGATTTATGCTCTGCATTTTAAAATCTCCCTGTTCCTTGCCCCCCACTCCGTGCCCTGGGCAAGGAGGGCTCTCAGCCCGGTGTCTTGAATCGGACACAGTCTGCTGAGGGCATTCTGGGTGGCTAGGGTCCCCGCCTCTGTTTGAGACTTTGGCAGCGTGGTCTGGGATGCACTCTGCACCTACCGTTGGGTCAGGCCTCAGGGGGCGGCCAGATGCTGGTCTGCAGGGAGATAGGACTCAGTCCCTCTCCACCAGCCTCCCGCCATCAGCCACGCGCGGGGGTCATGTCATGCCCTCCCCCCAGGAGAGGGGGTCCGGGCCCTGCCCCTGCCCCTGAGGTGTGTGTTGCTACAGTCCCGTCAGCTCACCCCTCCTCCCCCTGCCTCCCTCCCTCCTGCAGGGCACCTCAAGACCCGCACAGTCCCTCAGCGCAGCTCAGCTCACGCAGCCCTCGGGAGGCCTCCAGGCTTCCGTCATTTCCAACGTCGTGCTGATGAAGGGCCAGGCCAAGGTAAGCAAGGGCCACTGCCAGCCAGCCCCCGAGGAGCTGTCCCGTCCAGGAAAGGAAGGAGTGAGGCCTGGTGATGCCGGCTGCCGCGTGAGCATCGCCAAGTCCCCGGGGAGGCTTGGGGAGGGAGTGCCCCCAGGCCTGCCTGACCTGTGCAGGTCACCGCGGGGCACTGTCAGCCGACTTGTTCTCGGCATGGTATTTCCTAGAAGTGAGTTTCACTGGCGGATTAAATTCAAATCCTTTAAGTCCGTTTAAGCTGCTATCACAAAAACACGGACGAGATGCCTTAGCTAGCACCTCTCACCGTCGTGGAGCCTGGAAGTCCATGGTTAGGGTGGTGGCAGATTTGGTGTCTGTTGAGGACAACTTTCCTGGTGGGTGGATGGGGCCTTCTGTCCGTGTGGGCACCGGGTGCGTGGCGAGGGGCGAGGGGGCGCTCTGGGGTCTCCTCCATAAGGACACCCATCTGCTCGCGAGGGCTCCAGACTGTGACCTGCTCCCCTCCCAAAGGCTCCAGCTCGCACACGAGGTTTGGGGAGGACACAGACGTTCAGTCCACATGTCTCCACCCACTTTGTATATCCACACTGATTTCTGCCGCACGACTGAGAAACCCCGAAAGGAGGGACGAGGCAGAGGTGGTGGAGGAACAGCCCAAATGTCTCTCTGTGTTCCCTCCAGAACATTCTGGAATAGACACGGGCAGTTGCTGCAACGTTCACAGATGAGCCCAAGTAACCCCGATGCTTAAATAATGGAAGAGTGGGTTTTTGGTTTTGGGTTTTAAATCCCCCTACTATAACTTGGGCGCGTAGTGTGAGGGGAAGATGCTCCCGGCTGGTTGCTTCCTTTCTGGTCAGGGGAGGGCCCCCCCCCCCGCACGCCTGGGTCCTCCCTCCCCTCCTCCCCTCCCCTCCCCTCCCTTCCCGGGAGCTCAGCAGAGACATGAATGAAGAGACCCTGTTGCTCCTCTCATCACAAGACAAACCCTCTCCATGCTGACTTTGCTCCTAACAGCCTGGCTTTCTGACTAGTAAATTACGATGCTGGGATTTAGGTAAAGGTATTTAAAAAATAGTTGGCTTTTAAATCGCTTGCAATGCTCAGAAGAAAGCAAAGGGCGCCAAAGCTCATGCAAAGAGGACTGGAAATGGTTTAATTGAGCTCCGTGTCTGCACGTTCACTAAATCACATGTAGGCACGGGGCTGACCGAGCCGGCCTGCAGGGGCCGGGGGATGGAGCCAGGTGCAGGGTGTTGGATGCCCGGCAGGGTGGTGCGTTCAGACGCAAGCAGGCCTCCCACTGTCCGCCTCACACAACCTGTGCCCCGAAGGAAGGCCCCGTGGTCGAGGATGGCAAGTAGGAGCGGGGCGAGGGCTGAGTTCGGGAGGAGGAAGCAGAGCTAGAAGGCTCCATATGTGCTTGAGCTAGAGTCACAGGCAAATCTTTGGGCAACAAGGCAGCTCTGGAAACCCAGGCACTGTGCTAAGGGCTTGGCAAGGATGCCTCTTCCAGCCGTGGTGACGGCCCCGGGGTCACCTCCCTTTTCCCGCCCAGGACACTGAGGGTCTGGGAGGACATAGGACTTGCTCAGAGTCACTCGGTTAGTTAGCAGCCAAACTTAGACAACGACCCAAGACTTCCCGACTCCCGGGCCTCGTTCTAACCGTGGCGCTGTGCCGTCTCACCGGGGCGGGCAGACTTGGAGTCTGCAGGAGTTACCTCAGCCCAGTGAAGCTGGGGTCCACGGAGGAGCCCAGAAGCCACGCCTCCCTCTCCTTCTTCCTAGCCCTGGGCCACCCTCTGATACCATTTGTCTCTCCTACCCTGGGACATGCACCCTCACCAGAACCCTAGAACAGTGCCACGTCCGCGGGGCTTCCCTGCCTGGTTCCCTACGGCATCTGCGGATGGGTGCCGGGCCGGCCATGGCTCTGGCACGGGGGTGATGCCCCTGAGCAGCGATGCTCTTACAATGGTGGCCATGCCCGCGGGGTCCGTCCAGAAGCCAAGCTCTGAGCCCCTGCCCGGCACGCCTGCAAGCTGCCACCTGGCATGTGTCCTGGCTCCATGACGCACGTCACCTGAGCACCTGCCAGAAGCCGGGCACTGGCACACCGGATTTGTTCACTGCCTTCAGGGAGCTGAGAGTCTAGAAGGAAGCCCATCGAGACCCCAGCTAAGCCTTCCTGGGAAGCAGGGAGCTCCTCGGTCACCGACAAACCAAGCCAGCCTGTGTGAATTTCCTCTTCCGGTGCAGATGTTGCTTACACCTTTTGCTTGCTCATCTGCCTCTGGCTTTGTCTCTGCTGCCATTGGGACTGTCTCCTGGGCCCCCTGAGCTCCAACCAGACCCCGGGTTGGTGCTGTGAGCTCCTGGGGCGTTTGTCAGCTCAGGACCCAGTAGAGGGGGCTCAGGGTCACAGCGATGTCTTTAAAAAGGGGAGGGTGGGATGCAAAACAGAAGGGAAATGAACGGCCCTTGGCAGGAGAAGGGGTGCTTCCTCCAGTGCAAGCTGCCATAATTATTCCTGCAGGCTTTTGTTGCTTGGGATCTCCTTGAATTTTCAAACACGACCCTGTGAGTTATATCGTGAGCATCATTTTACAAGGGGCTAACCCAGGGCTCGGAGACAGAATTGCCAGCGAGAGGGGCTGAGCCAGGGCTCAGCGCCGTCCGGGGTTCTCGGGCCACATCCCTGGTTCTGTGTCAGGACATCAGACCCGCGGGAGAGCTCTCGACCCCATGCAGCCCAGGCTGGCCTTGAAGTCCTGGTTTTCCCCATTCTTCTGTGAAGTCCGGAGGTGTGTGAGACCAAGGGCATCTGTCTCCTCCCCGGGGCCTTGGCTCAGGGCTGGGGCAGGCCCTTGGCAAATGTCAGCCCAGGGAATAGCGTGGACCACTCTTAATGCTGCCTCTCCCTTCTCTCCCCCCAGGGCCTGGGCTTCAGCATCGTTGGGGGAAAGGACAGCATTTATGGCCCCATCGGAATTTACGTCAAAACTATCTTTGCGGGGGGAGCAGCGGCAGCCGACGGAAGGCTGCAGGAAGGTAGATCTCCCGTGTCTCACTGGCTGAGGTTTGAGGATTCAGACAGAATCGCTAGGCCACAGAAGAGAGTGGACAGCAAAATGCATCTCCTATCCCCGCCAGCACCGTGGTGACAGGCACTTTGCTGGGGGTGTTTGCACTCAGTCCAGGTCCTGTAGCTGGCCCGGGATGGAGGCCTGAGCTGTCTGCATCCCTTCCCTTCTTTCCCAAGGGCCCCTCCCTATTGCTGATGCCCCTGCCACCCCATCCCTTCCCTCCGCCCTCCCCGACCCGCAACCACAGGGACACCAGGCCTTGCGCTTCTACTGCGTCTGAGCAACATTCTCTGTGAGGCCACTGTGCTCTCGGCTCTAGGAATAGAGAGAATGATCAGATGTGATCTCTCTTTTGAAGAGCTCACAGTCCACCAGCTCCTGGGGCCAGGAGAAACCCCTGCATCCTGATGGTTAAGGGGCCTGGGGAGCAGAGCTGCCTCCTGAGAGCCCTTCCCGTCTTCCCATCCTGGAGGACTGGGGTTTTCTCCCCACCCCGATGGCCCCCCAAAGTCACTTTTGGAGTGTTGGACAACAGGCTTGGCCCGAGGACATTCCCAAATTTCAACCAGGGGGAGAAATTCAGGGGCAGGCAGCCCCCGAGCCGAGGGCAGCCCCTGCAGGCTAGACGCTGGATTCCACACGGGATGCTTGAGAGAGGCGATTTCACAGTGTCCCCACCCTTCTCCACCAGGCCAGTTTCTGTACGCTGTGCTGGGAGCCTGGGCCCCCTTAAGAACCTAACTTGTTTAGGGCAGGGTTGGTAAGCTCCAGCCAAATTCGGCCCACCAACTATCATCGTGTTGCTCACAAATAAAGAATGGCTTTCATGCTTCTAAATGGCTGGAAAAAAGCCAAAGGAATTTATGATTCTTTTGTGGCAAGTGAAAACTGCATAAAATTCAAATTTCAGGACCCGCAGAAAAGCTTTAGGGGGATGCAGCCAGGTGCACGGCTCACTCACTTACCGGTGGTCAGAAGCTGCTTTTGCGCTTGCGACGGCCGTCTTGTGTAGTGTGACAGAGGGCCCGTGACCAGCAGAGCTTACCGTATTTACTCTCTGGCCCTTCATAGGACAAGTTTGCTGACACCTGTGTTATGCAAGATAAGGCATACGGATTTTACCGAGGGGGCAGTGGGGAGTCTTTGAAGGTTTTTGTAATTTGGGAGGGACCAGCTATGCCCAGGTTCTTAGGTGATTCGGGAAGCGGGGTGTCGGTTGAAGTGGGCTGGCAGGAGACCAGAGGCAGGCAAGCCTGCAGAGAGGCTGTTGAAAGAGCCAGGCTCCAGCTCTCCAGGGTCTGAGCTGTCTCTCTAGGAGGAGGAAGGTGCAGAGGAGACTCCCTGGAGGCGGGCGTGAAGGGAGGCCAGAGAAGATGCTCCTGGCCTTAGGAAACTTACCCGCAGGAGGACCAGGTGACAGAGGAGGAGGACAAGGAAGGCCAAGGAGGATGCTTTGGTTTCAGCCACGGCGTGCAGGGCAAGGCATGCAGGCGGCCACTAGGTGGAGCTGTGCTGCAGGCGGAGGAAGCGACGCCTGCCCAGGGAGGGAGCTGGGCGGAGTGTAGATTTGGGGGTCTGGACACCTGGAAAATACCTGAGTTATAGGGCAGGTGAAGGAAGGAGGGAAGAAGGGAGGGAGAGGAGGGCAGAGGCACGGTTCTAGGGGAATCGCTAAATCAAGAGGCAAGTAAAGAAGAGGGATCCATGAGACAAAGGGCGAAAAGTGACATCAGAATCTTGAGAATGTGCCAGTGTTTGATGATCTTTTGTACTTTTCTGTGTTTAAATAAAAGGCGGGGGAGGAGTTGAGATGGCAAGAAAAAGGGTACTGTGTTCTGTATTCTTTACAGAATGCAAGCCTGCTTGAGTCAAGCTTCTTTATCCCCCTTGAGTATTTGTTTCTCTTCGTTAATAGCGATCATAAAAATTCAGCGGGAAAGACATTCAGCTAGTCTACCTATAGTCCCTGATTCTAGCCTCAAATGATTGACCAGATCGCCTGTTGCATCTCTTTCAAAGTCAAGTTTTAGAATCTGCCCTTGAGTTCATGAGGTACATCCGGTTGCAACAAAATTTTGGTGTACAGATCAAGGCTGACGATGTTTTATTTGCATAAACCTTCCCCCAAAAATGATTGTGTAAGATTTATTTGGCAAAACCGAGGTTAATCACTTTCCACCAGATATGGCCAAAGAAAGGCCAGGACTCTCCAAAGAGCCCAGAGTTGGGCTATGTAGTTCTGTTAGGGTTGACAAGAGAGTCCCGCCCATCATGTCATTAAGAATGGTCATTTCTCAAGAAATAAACCCCCATGTTCACTGCAGCATTATTTACAATAGCCAAGATAGGGAAGCAACCCAAGTGTCCATCGATGGATGAATGGATAAAAATATGGCGCATATGTATAGAATGGACTATTACTCAGCCATAAAAAATAATGAAATCTTGCCATTTGTGACAATATAGATGGACCGAGAGGGTATTATTCTAAGTGAAATAAGTCAGACAGAGAAAGGCAAATACCATAGGATTTCACTCATATGTGGAATCTAAACAACAAAACAAATGAGCAAGCACACAAACGTCAACAACAAAAACAGAAACCACCTCGACTTCAGAGAACAAACTGGGGTTGCCAGAGGAGAGCGGGGAGTGAAGTAGGTGATGGGGATCAAGAGGTACAAACTTCCAGTTGTAAAATAAAGAAGTCATGGGGATGAAAAGTACAGCATAGGGAACACAGTCAATGATATTGTCATGACTTTGGGTGGTGACAGATGGTGACCCCACTTATCTTGGTGAGCAGTTTGTAATGTATGTAATTGTCGAGTCCTTACGCTGCACACCTAAAGCTGATCTCTCAACAGTGCTTCAGTTTAAAAACATAAGTAGAGGAAGGCATTTAACTGATGGTGCACCCAGAGCATCATTGAGGGTCACCTCTTTTAATCAATCAATCAATCAATCAATCAATCTCTTGTCCATGACGGAAAAAAGAATGGTCATTTCTGAAATATGTTCTCTGTCTATTCGTCCTTCAGACATATTAGTTATATTTTGATTAGTTTTTAAATTTGTCTGTTTCTACTCCACTTGGACTCTCCTAAGTATAAGGATGGGTTCTTTCAGTTTGGGTCTAATTCTGGCAGCTTCACAGATGACGCTGATTTGAATCCTGTGTCCAGCCCACTTAACACCCTTTATTTTCGACACATAGATGTGTTGGATAAAGTAGCTCATCTAAACTTTGAATTGAAGTATGGCAGACTTAGGAGTTGATGATGTAGGGGCCCGTGGAGCTGGTGCCCAAAGGACCAGGATTTAGCTGCCCACATGGGATAGGAGACGCGGCTTTGGGTCCCTGGGAACTTCTGAGAACTTGCATGAAGCCTTGATACTAGAGAGCTGCCCTATGAGAGGCCATCAGGCCCCAGGGAAGCAGTGGGGAAACCTCACTTTGCCCATGGTTCTTGGGTGTGGGGAAAAGACGTCTCCCCACAGGCAAAGGAAGACCCAAGCCTGTATCATGTATGCGTGTCCTGGGCACATTCATATCCCAACTGACTACAGGACGCCCCAAGCTGAGACCCTAACCTCAACACTAGTCCTGAAGCAGTGAAAGCCTTAGGCTGGCCCCTGGAGATAAAGGAAATGCTCCTGCCCGGCAGCTTGGGGTTTTCGGGAATCCCCGAGAAAAACCGGCCCCAGAAAAAGGAGTTTGACACAAAGACCCCACAGGAGGTGGGGAAACATCCCTTATTAGTGAGCATCAGTGGGAATAACAGACAGGAGGATTAGCCCACAAAAACCCAAGATCACAGAACAATCTAAAAGACACTGTAGAATTACTGTTTTTGGTTATGCATTTTTAATTTCTTTTTAAATTTTAATTCCAGTTAACATAAAGTGTTGCGTTAGTTTCAGGTGTATGATAGAGTGATTCAACACTTCCATGCTTCACTGGGTGCTCCTCGCTCCTTCATCACTCCTTCATCCCCATCACTTGTCTCCCCTATCTCCCACCCACTTCCCCGTTGGTGACCAGCAATGTACTCTCTACAGTTAAGAGTCTGTTTCTTGGTTCGTCTCTTTTTCTCCTTATTTGTTTATTTTGTTTCCTAAATTTCACATATGAGTGAAATCATATGGTATTTTTGTTCTCGGACTGACTTATTTCACTTGGCATCATACTCTCTGGCTCCATTCGTGTTGTTGCAAATGGCAGGATTTCATTCTTCTTATAGCTGGGTAATATTCCATTGCGTATATATACACCACCTCTTCTTTATCCATCCATCAGTCCATGGACATCTGGGTGGCTTCCATAATTTGGCTGTTGTAGATTATGATGTGAATAAACATAGAGGTGCATGTATCCCTTTTGCATTCGTATCTTTGTATTTTTTAGAATTGCTATGTTTAAAGAGATCTTTGAAAAGGTAAAAGAGGGAATAGGAACAACCAAAAAAGAACAGAACACGGTGAAAAAAAATCTTGTAGGGAGCAAAAGGCAAGTCATCGAAATAAGAAGCTCAGTGGCCAGCTCAAACCGCAGACGAAACACCACTGGAAGGAGAATCGGGGAGCTGGACATGGTCCAGCGGGCTGCACAGAGCGATGGAGAACAGGGTGAGCGTCAGAGAAACATGGAGGGTGAGCAGGACCGAAGGGAAGACGAGTTCTAGAAAGGAAGGGCAGCATGGAAGAGGGGCGACTAGACAGTGGCTAAGAATTTTCCAGAATCATTTTAAGGCATGAAACTTCCTTGTGAGGAAGCACCCTAGGACATCACGGTGGGACTTCAGACCACCAAAGACAAAGGCAAAAGCATCTTTCAAACAACCAGAGAGAAGGGGCGGGTGATCTGCACTGGGCCCGGAGTGAGGTGGCAGCAGACTCACCTGCGAACAGCCAGGCCAGAGTCTGTGCGGGGAACTGTCCTTGCATCTGAAATGCCCAGTGCAGCGCTGGGTGCAGAGAGAGTGCTCCTTCTTTGTGTGTTGAATACATTTAGTGCAGGGGAGACATGGGTTTTCCGTCCCTGTAAAAATGGATTTCCGGATACAGAAAAAATGCGTCTATTAGGCATATCTGGGAGGGAATGGCTTGCAGTAAAACGTCCGGAGTCGTGGGTCAGCACCCACGGGCCGTGCTGCGACAGTGGAGGATGCGGGAAATAAAGGCGTCAGGGGCTGTGAGAGAGGCGGGCCAAGAAGGGGGGAGCAGTGCACTGTGGTGACGAAACACAGGGCAGCAATCTCTGCACGCAGACACGCTGTGGGAAAGGCATCTGGGAATGAGCCCTGGGAACACGTGGCCTGAGGGCCAGGGAGGCAGGAGGGCAGGGGCTGAACCCACGGTGGGCAGGACAGGTCAGGCCGGGCCTTGTGTGCCCGCCGAGGACCCTGGATCGGCCCCCGAAAGAGAGGAAGGGCCTCGGAAGGCTGGTCACTGCTGCCCATCTGCCCCCCAGGGGGAGAGCCCCGGGCTGGGAAGGCTTTCTCCCGGGCTGTGTGAGTGGACGCCCCTCACCGGGCCACACTCCTCTCTGCTCTCCCGACAGGGGATGAAATTCTGGAACTCAACGGTGAATCGATGGCTGGACTCACACATCAGGATGCTTTGCAGAAGTTCAAGGTGACCGCTTGTTATCAGTACATTGCCAGACTCCGGGGCTTCGGGCAAAGGAACCAAGCATGATCCTCCTTCACTCAAACCTGCAAATTCAAACTGTGGGATCCTTGACGTGGGGCGCCCCGCTGGTGCGGGTCTGGGCGCAGTGTTAAAAAAAAGACCTGGCTCAGAAAATACGAGTGTAATCAGGGGTGTTCCCACGATTTCAGATTTGTAGAGCTGTTTTAAAACGCTCAACGTATTGATGTTGACAAATTTCCAGATCTGTTTGAAGTCTGTAAGGCAACCACGAGAAGATGCTTTTAAGTCTCCGTGTAATCAGTTCGAGACTGCATGCATCCGGCACGTGTATGCACACACGCGTTTGTGTTAATACACGTCATGTGTCATCTGTGCAGAGACGTGCAGGTGCATGTTGATTCTACCACACGCACACGCGTGCACACGGGTGGGCACGCATGCATGCATGCATGCACATACAGACGCACGCGTGTGGGCGCACGCAGCTGCTGAGTGCTACAGCACACGATCTCTGCCTTTCAGCAAGCCAAAAAAGGGCTCCTGACCCTCACGGTGAGAACCCGCCTGACGGCGCCCCACTCCCTGAGCAGCCACCTGTCTGCCCCGCTGAGCCGCTCCCTGAGCTCCAGCACCTGCATGACCAAAGACTGCAGCTCCTTCGGCCCGGGAAGCCCCGCGCCCCCCTCCGGCGCGGCCAAGCCCAACTACAGGGTCATGGTGGAGGTCTCCCTGCAGAAAGGTAGGGTGGCAGCGCCCCTCCTCCGCCGCCCCCCTGCCCGGGCCTCCCACCCCCGAGGGGTCCCCGAGGCTTTCCTCATCGGGAGTCAGTCCAAGGACAGGGCGGGAGATCCGGGGCGGGCGCTCCCCCTCGGGCACCTGCGCTCTTACCTGTGGCCGGAGAACTGAGGTCCTCTGAAGCTCGGTCACGAGCCCCCCGTGCTCTCTCCCGCTCTCCCTGGCAGAGGCTGGCGTGGGTCTGGGGATCGGCCTGTGCAGCGTGCCCGACTTCCAGTGCATCTCCGGCATCTTCGTCCACACGCTGTCTCCCGGATCTGTGGCACATTTGGATGGTCGGCTCCGGTATGTCCTCGTTTCTGTTGTCGGGAAAACAAAACAAAACAAAACAAAACAAAAACTCAGGATGCTTTGCAGAAGTTCAAGGTGACCGCTTGTTATCAGTACAAGCTTACAGCAGAGGGAAGGAATTCCTTAGAAGGCCAGGAGATTCATCTGGAGACGAGATATTCAGAATGACCCAAGCGTGGCTCAGAGCCTTGCTCTCCAGACTGTGGTCCCTGGACCACTGGCATCGGAATCACTTGGGAGTTTGTGAGAAATGCAGAATCTAGGGCTTCTCAGCAGACCTCCTGGAGTGGAATCTGCATCTTAGTAAGATCCTCAGGGACCTGTGTGCGCGTCCCAGTGCAAGAGGCCGCATCTCAGGGAATTCCAGTCCGAAACAGAAAACATGAGGTGACCACACTTTAATTCCGATTTAACTAATGCGGAATTTATAGCAACATCCGTAGGAGCTCCGGTGAGGTTTGCCTGTGTGCCCTGTATGGAAAAAGAAGCTTACCAAGCCGATCAGTAGTGTTAACTCAGTTTCTTGATGGCAGAAACAAAATATTGGCAGGCCCTGCAGACTTATTTTGCTACAAAGACCTTCTAAGAGGAGCCCTGAATCTAAATTTTCTTTCCAGTAAGTGATTTGGGTTCGGTAACATTTATCCCAGTCTAACTTGTTGTGATAACTTCCAGCTCACGTATCTTCTCTCCCATACCTTCTCTCCCTGGGTTTGGGTTTTGCTACATCAGGAGAGTTTTGCCGTATTTTTCAAGGGTTTCCTTCCCACAATTGCAGTGTATGCAAGGGCAAGCCATGCTCAGGACAGTGTCCTGACAGTGCTTTGAGTTAGGGATGGATTTGCCGTTGTCGCGAGCAGGGCAGTGACGGCTGATTTGCTGAGCTGCTGGTTTCGCTTGGGACATAATGAGAGTCCCAGCAACGGCCTTAGCCCTAATCCCTTCGGACAGAGCATCCTCCCGCCCAGACCTGCAGCTGGGTCGGGATTGTTCTGGACGTCTCTGCTTTCCTGGGCATGTGGGGCTATTCGGCTGTGGCCTAGACCGCAGTGTGGGGGACAGCAACATCAGTCCCAGGACACCTGTGTTCCAATCCCCGCCATGCCGATGATCAGCCGGGCTGGAGCTCAGCAAAGTGCGGCCCACCACCTGCTTGGTTTCTTTTTTTAAATAAAGTTTTACTGAAACACAGCCACGCTCATCGGTTGACACATTGTGGCTGCTGTTTTCATGCTACAGCATCAGGGTTGGGTGGTTGTGACAGAGAGAGTGTGGCCTGCCAAGCCTAAAATATTGACGGTTTGGCCTCCTCCTGAAAAAGCTTTTTTAACTCTAAGCTAGGTCTTATTGAGGAGATGATTGCACCCTCTGTGCCTCAGTTTCCCCGTCTGTGAGACAAGGGGGTTGGATTGCACCATCCTCTGTGTATGGAAGCATCCCTCTTTTCTACCTCACTTTTTTTTTTTCCTGGTTACGTAACAGAACAAATCTGAATTTTCCATAACTCACTTCCTATCTTACAGTAAGAATGCGCTCCATACCTTCTCTCCTTAGTTCTTTTTGCAAGGACTTCAGCTGCTCCCCAGTCCAGTTATTTCTTCTTTACCTGTTAGCACACAAAGCGTCCATCTTCCCTCCTAACCATTCTACAGATGGGAACGCTGAAGCCCAACGGTTGTGATTGGTTAAATCATGGTTAATTGGTTAATCGCCTAAATTGGTTCACCTACACCCTCAATCTCGATTAGGCATAGTTTAACGGGAGAAAAGGAGGAGGAAGATTACAGACTAACCTTTGTTCATGTTGTCCCACCCCGGGTATGAAACATCCCCCCCACTGTGGCTGCGCAGTGAGGGGGTGAGAAGGGCACTGCTTTGGTCCGTCCTCCTCTGAGGGTCAGTCGGGTGGCAAAGGAACTCCACTTATTGGTGTAATTTTTAGGTCTCATCGAACAGCCCTGCCAGGAGTGGGACTTCTGGGAAGGGAGCGTCTGAAAGCCATGTTGGTTAGCTTGCTGACGGCTTCCTGTGTATGCTTTCACAGGTTCGGTGACGAGATCGTGGAAATCAATGATTCCCCCGTGCGCTGCATGACACTCAACGAAGTCTACGCGATCCTGAGTCACTGCAGTCCCGGGCCGGTCCCCATCATGGTCAGTCGTCATCCAGATCCACAGGTAACACGCCACTGGGGCATCTTCTTCCGCCCAGGCTCACTCTTTCAGGACTCAGCTTCGAACAAGACATAGATGAGAGCAGGTGATGCTGGCTGGGTTTGGACTTGAATTTCCAAGACCGTGTTCCGAGTGTAGTAACACGTGTCTGCAGCAGGGGTCCACTGGCAAACTCCTAGACACCAGAGACAATTGGCATGAGCTTAGGGGAGCTCTTGCAGCTGGGATACAAGCTCGAGGGCAGGAAAATATAGAGCCAGCATCCCTGCTAGAGATGCCACGAATCAGTCAACATATCCGTGCATCTAGTGGAGACCCGTTATGTGATTGTCCAGCCCTGAGCAGATAGAGCTGAACAAGCCCTTCCACACAGTCCTGCCTCGGAAGCTCACGGTCTTGCTAGAGACACTGACACAGAAATAATTGCAATACGGAGTGATAAGTATTCTGCAAATAGAGAGCTACAGAAAGGAAGGTTGGAACAAGCAAGAAATACCAGAAGTTAGCTTGTTCCAGGCAAATAATTTGAGGAAGGTCATTCCATGAAGTGGGGACACAAACTTCATTTGTAGGGACTTCATGAAGGGACCTGTCATAGGAGAGTGGCTTGTTCTCGGGGGGCTGGCATGTGGGTACTGGGTGGAGAGGCCAAGGATCCGGTGGGCATGACATTGGAGCGACCCTGTAGTGGGCTTCACATGGGGTGCTCAGAGTTCACGTCATATTCTGTGGGGGTGAGGAGCTAGGAGAGGACTGTGGCTGTAGATGGAATATGTTCAGATTTTATTTTTTAACCACTGATGGTGCGGTGGAGGACAGGGTGGAGGACGGGGTGGGGTGGGTGCAGCCTGGAGTCTGGAAGAGGAAGGAAACAGATGACGAGGACCTAAACTGCACAGTGGATGTGAGAAGAGGATGGAGAAGGGGGCACGGGGACAACCGGGAAGAACTGGTCGTACTGTTGGCTGATGAGCCTGGGGCACGGGTGGTCTCAGATGACTGGGGTGTTTTCGGGTCAGAAGCAGCACCAGCAGCATAGAGAAGAAAAGGAGGAGGGGGTGCTTGGGAGGGAAGAAATGGTCTCATGTGGGGCATAAAGAGATTGAGGTGCCTGTGGGGTGTCCGTAGGCGGTTAGATTCAGGGCTGATAATGGCTCTTGCGTGGGGTCCAGTTCGGAGTGAGTCTCGGGAGCTGGGGCCGTGGGCATTGGTGAGGTTCCTTTGGGGAACCTGGTGATACTCACCATCACTATTTATGCAATCCTTGTACGTGCCAGGCATCTTTGCTGAAAGACGTGACAGGCAATTGCATTTAGTTGTTGAAAAACCATCTGAGGTCAGTGTGATTCTCCCTTCCAAGTCACAGAGGAGGAAACCAAGGCTTAGAAGGGAAAGAGGAACTGGGTTCATGGTGGAGCTGGTATGTGAAGAAGCTAGGCTTTAAAGCTTATGCTCTTAACTAACAGACTCCAAACTCCCCAAGGAAATAGGGCAGAGATGGACTCACAGGCCAGATCCACATGCACCTTGTGTAGTGGGATTCAGACCCAGCTCTCTTCCGCTGTGAGCACTAAGGATGAGCACTCTAGAGAAAAGCAAACTTCCCACGACGGCAGACAAGTAATTTGTCTAAACCTCTGGAGATAGAAGAAAAGAAAGCGGCCTCAGTGTCTCTTGCTGCCCTGGGCACCGTGGGGAGAGGGCAGGGGAGGAAGAGTTGGGTGTGGGACCAAGGCTGGGGCCCCTGGCCTTGTGGCCCTTGGTTCTGGCTGGAGGGGTGGGGCACACACACAGAGAGGCCATGAGGGGTGAGGGCCATGGGGGTGAGGGAGTCAGGGTCCCAGTGGCCCAGAAGACGGAGCCAGGTCTTGAAAGGACAGCCAGAGCGTGGGGCAAAGGCACTGCAGACAGGGGAGTCCAGTGCGCATGCACAGCGGAATGCCTGGTCCTGTCCAGCTCTGCTCCTCCTTCTCGGTGACACCTGGGACATCCATCTAACCTCTCAGAGCCTCTCCTTCCTCAACCCTGGAATGGGGGAGTGGTCTTGACCTGGCAGGACTGCTGCTGATACGAATTCCCTGCACTCAGAGTTTACCGTTTGCTAGGTATTGTGCCCAGTGCTTTAAATGATTTATTATTATTATTATTATTATTATTGTGGCAAAACACATCCAACGTAAATTCACCATCTTCACCGTCTTAAGTGTACAGTTCGGTGACGTGAAGGACATTCTCCTCCTTGTGCCCCAGCACCACCATCCATCTCCAGATGTCTTTTCGTCTTGTAAAGCTGAAACTCTGTGTCCACTAAACAGCTTGCCGTCTCCCCGTCCTTCCAGCCCCTGGAAACCAGCATTCGACTTTCTGCCTCTGTGGTTCTGACGACCTTATGCACTTCATATAAGTGGAATCGTGTGGTACTTGTCCTTTTGTGACTGAATTGTTTCACTTAGCAAAATGTCTTCAGGTTTCATCCACGTGCTTGCAGGTGTCAGCCTTTCCTTCCTCGTTAAGCCTGCGTGATAGCTCATTGTGTGTGTGTGTGTATCTCATTGTGTGCATGATATCTCATTGTGTGTCCATTTATCCGCTTATCTGTCAGTGGACACTTTTGGCTATTGTGGATAACGCTGCTGTGAACGTGGGTGTGCACATATCTACTTGAGTCCCTGCTTTCATCGTCTTTGGGTACTTGTCCAGAAGTGAAACTGCTGGACCATATGATGATTCTATTTTCAATTTTTTGAGGAACTGCCATACTGGTTTCTATAGCAACAGCACTCACATCCTTATCAACACCTATTGTTTCCTGTTTTTTTTTTTGAGAGCAGTCATGTTATGGGTGTGAGGCGGGACCTCATTGTGGTTTTGATTTGCATTTCCCCAACGAGGAGTGATTTCGAACTCACCAGCCATTTGTACGTCTTCTTTGGAGAAAAGCCTATTCAAGTCCTTTGCCCATTTTTTAATTGGGCTGTTTGGTTTTTGCTGTTGTTGTTGAATTATAGGCGTTCTTTATGTATTCTGGATCATAATCCCTTATAAGATATATGAATATTTTCTCCCATTCCATGAGTTGCCTTTCGCTTGGTTGATTGTGTCCTTTGATGAACAGATCTTAATTTTGACATAGTCAAATTCATCTATTTTTATTGTTGTTGCCTGTACTTTTGGTGTCAAATGGCTTATTTTTTAAAAACCCTCTGACCTCACTGGGAAATAGGTTATATTATTGTTATTGTACAGAAGAAGAAATTGAGGCTCAGGAGGTTAAGTAACTTTCTAAGAGTACACAACTAGAAAGCGGAGGAACTAGGACTTGAACATAAGTCTGTTTGGTTCCAAGAGTCATACTCTTAACTATTAATCTAAAGTGATTAGTGACCTGTGACAGTAAAATGATGATGGGGATGGTGAAGATGGTGGTGATTTTGGGGATGGTGATCATGGTGATGATGGTGAGGACAATGATGTCGATGATGATCATAATGATGACAAAGCCCAATGCAAGACATTTCTGCTGTTTTACATGAGCAGGTGACTCGTATTTCCTAGGTGTCTGAACTGCAACTCAAAGAAGCTGTGGCTCAGGCTGTGGAGAACATCAAGTTTGGAAAGGAGAAGCATCAGTGGAGTCTGGAAGGGAAGGGAGACGGTGAGCTCTGACTTGGATGTCTTTGCCTTCTTAGACAGCTTAGGGATTAGCCATTAACTCGCCTTCGACCTCAGGGACATAAGAGTGATCATGGACAAGCACGATAAACGTGGACAGAAGTTGGAAGCTAGCAGCCCACCAGCTAAGCTTGGCTCACATTTTCGCTTTGTTCGGGAGGCACAGGATGACAGAAGCATCTGATTTTGAATTTTTTTCAACAGGCAGGCACTCTCCCGGCTCGCCATGTGCCAGGAGTCCTCACCGTCCCCTGTTAGACCAGGTTGCCATTTCCACAGGTGCCTCCCTATGCATTTGAGGTTTCAACCCCAAGATAATTATAATAGACGCTTTAGAACTACTAGCTAATAATATCATATCTGGGTGCCTGGGTGGCTCAGATGGTTAAGCGTCTGCCTTTGGCTCAGGTCATGATCTCAGGGTCCTGGGATCGAGTCCCGCATCGGGCTCCCTGCTCCTTGGGAGCCTGCTTCTCCCTCTGCCTCTCTCTCTCTCTGTCTCTCATGAATAAATAAATAAAATCTTAAAAAAATATATCATATCTAACTTTTATTTAAGGTCTTCTAAGGTCAGACACCTGGGCTAATTCATGCATTATTTTACCAGATCTTCACATATAATTCTTATGCACATTTCTTTTTTAAAAATTAATTTATTTATTTTAGAGAGGGGGAGAGGCAGAGGGGGAGAGAAAGGAACAGGCAGACCCCTCCCTGAGCTCAGAGCCCTGAGCAGGGCTGCTTTCACCACCGTGAGATCATGACCCAAGCCAAAAATCAAGAGTTGGATGCTCAACTGAGTGAGCCAAGCAGGAGCCCCTTTATGCACATTTCTAAGGAAAAGGTGGGGCCCTGAGAGGCTCTCTTACCCATAATCACTCTATGCAGTGCACAGAGCATTTGGACGGGGACTGGGTTAGCTGACTCCGGTGCCTGGGCATTAACTGCTCAGTGCTCAGCCGCTGGGCACTGGCCACGTCATCATGGAGCATAATATGATGGAACAACGTGCAAATATTGACAAGGAGGCTAAACTGCCTGCAAATGTTCAAAGAAAGGAATTTCAACCATGTTCTACCATCTCTACCCACTCAACATGCATTTATGCTCAGGAAAATGTAATAGAGAAACTCACAAAAATTTCAACAGTGGTTATCTCCAGCTGATAGGCCTGCAGGTGAATTTTCACTTTCATTTCTTCCTTTTTGTGGCTGAGTTTTTTTCTAATAAGGATGCATTATTTTATGGCCAGGATAAAGCAAAAGCATTTTTTTTTTTTCTTTAAAGAGGATTTGAACTGTGAGCTTGGCTGATCTTGGTTTTCTCCTAAGGTTAAGGATTCTCTTCCTGGCCTTCCAGAATGAGCTGGAATTTGAGCAAGAGGCTGGGACTCAGCCTGTTCCCACTCCTATGAGCACTGATTCTAGGAAAGCAACACCTGGAACTGTTTCCGCTAGAGGAAAGGGCCTCTCAGGGTTGTGTGGATGGCCCCAGGTGCTGAGAATGGGTGTGTTGGGGGGATGACCCAGGAAGAAAGGCTGGATGGGAGGGAAGAGAAAGGGGGCTCTGGCTAAGAAACTGTGGTTTGGGGGGTCTCGATTCACCCTCAGCTGGAAGAAATGGTAGCCTCGGTACAGGGCTCTACACACATTCACAGGCGTTTTCTCTCTTTCATACTGAGCCCTGAAACAAGCCCAGTAGCCCTGGAATTATTATCCCCATTTAACATGAGAAAATGGGGTGTTGCTGTCTGGGTTCCCCGGGAAGTCAACTCTGAGACAGTGTTTGGCAGGATGTTACCGTGGAAGAGTCCCAGGGATTGGAGCCTGTGGAGGGGAGGGGACCAGAGGCTGGGTAGAGGGAGAGGTGAGCTGATGCACAGCTTCAGCCCTCGCCCCTGGAGTTGGGCAGCTAAGCAGTCTGGTTGGCAGGAATGGCCCCTCCTTTACAGGCCCCTCATCTCCATCAGCCCCCATGCGTGAGGCAGTTCCCCGTAGGCAGTCCCCAGGGAGGCACCTACCACCAGTGCTCCCCACGGGTGGGACAGCAAGCCCTTCCTTGATGAGCAAGTTGGGGAAGCATCCGCGTCTCCATCACATGGAGACTCAGAAAGGCTGAGTGATTTTCCCAAGCGGAAGTCGTACCGCTCGCCCGGGACAAACCCAAGACTGCCGGTCTCCAAATCCCAAGGGACCTCAGATGAGAAGCAGACAGCCTGGGGTGCAGCGTGCAGCCGCGAGCCGTGGGGAGCACGGTGGCCAAGGGTGTGTGTGCCCTCCAAGCTCAGCTGTGGGGGGGCCCCCTGTGCTTCCATGACAGGTGTCAAAAGGTTGGAGAGTAGCTGGCATGGGCGGCCGACCTTGGAGAAGGAGAGAGAGAAGAACTCAGCACCCCCGCATCGCAGGGCTCAGAAGGTCATGATCCGCTCCAGCAGCGACAGCAGCTACATGTCCGCGTCCCCCGGGGGGAGTCCCGGTAGCGGCTGCAGGCAGCAGTCTTCTGACCTGGAAGTCCCCACCCACAGCCCCAGCCTGTCCCTGGGGCAGGAGCAGGGGACGCTTCCCACGGCTCCTTCCGGGCTGCCCCAGGAGAGCCCACCCCTCCCTGGGACGCAGGACAGCCACCCGCCCCTGAAGCTGAAGAAATCCTTCGAGATTTTGGTGAGAAAGCCCACAGCCTCCAAGCCCAAGCCTCCGCCCAGAAAATACTTTAAAAGTGACAGTGACCCTCAGAAGAGTCTGGAAGAGAGAGAGGACCCCCTATGCCCTTCTGGGCACACCTCACCCACGTGGGGCCAGGTAAGAGAGGTGTCTGACAGGTTCAATGTTCTCCTGAGCTCCAGAGCCAGGAATCGTGCTTCTGTTGTTGTTTGTTTGTTTGTTTTTTATCGTGTGCACAGTTGTTCTTGAGCACGAGCAGGAGCCTTAGCCATGGGGAAGGAAGGGGTCTCCTGCTCCTTCAGAGGGAAGAGGCTCAGCTCGAGCTTAGAGCCGACCGTGCCAAGACTGGAAGCTTGGCAGGTCCCAAACCGAAGCCCCATTCCCGCTGTGTGGCTTCTGGTCTCCCTTCTAAAATACACTGGGGTTTTCGGCTGCTTTCATGGGGGTCAGTCTTCAGGCTGGCCCTGATGGAGCCCCAGCAGAGCTCCCGGAAGGCCATTCCGCAAGGGGCGGGCAGGGGGGCTTCCTCGAGGGGCTGGTTACCCGCTTTTGGAAGTGACTTAGTCCATGGGATGGTGAGACCTTGGCTTCCGTGTCTTTCCCAACTCCTCTTGCCCAACTCCCACTTCCTTCTAGGTGGAGCTTGGGGGCAATCTCAACTTCTCTGAGCCTCAGTTTCCCCTCCTGCTCGCTGGGGCTGTTTGGAGGCTCCCTGCTCATTTCGTGGAACCACCTAAGCCGATAATCGTGGCTGTGATTAGTCTTCCAGCACACCCATGAAAGACCTCGGCTTCCTTCCCCTGCCGCCCATGCCACCCCCTTAGAGGAAGGCCCACCGACAGCCAGGCAGCGGCTGCAGCTTGGGCATCTTTATGCCCAGGCCCTGTGTGGAGCGCCACTTGGCTGCTGCCCCAGTTCGGCCCTACCCCGCCTCCTCCCCCGGGGGCGAGGGGCTGGCCACAAAGGGTCCCCGAGCTCCAGATCCCTCCACCAGCGGCTTGACCGCCAGGCTCCACCGCCTTTCTCAGCCCGGACCCCAGCAGCTGCCGTGGCCACGTGGCTGGCAGTGGGGCCCTCGGGACCTCCCCCCAGTGGCCTGGCGTTGGGCTTGACCAAGCAGGAGGGGAAGAAGGCCAGAGTGGTGGGGTGGGGAGGTGGGGGGAGGAAGGCGGTGAGTGGGAGGGGGAAATGGCGGGAGGGGAGGCAGCTGGTGACAAGGAAGCGGGTCCTGCCCAGAGCACGGATGTGGCTGCTTAGCTGCTGGCCTGATGAGCTCGTCGCTGTGGGTCCCCTCCCCCGCCTCCTGCTTTAAGCCAATGCGGCCTTCCCCTGTGAGTCCGGAAGGCAAGCGAGGAACAGGCAGGCGGAGAAGCCAGGCTTTTTGCTTTGCTCCTGGACACTCGGGAAAGGAGGAGGGGCTTTGCCAGGGGAGGTCTGCTGGCTGCAGGGCTTCCCGGTGATGCCCTGGGGGTCCCTGGCTAGGCTGGGCCATAGACGGGCGGCTGGCTGGAGGGAGAAGCGGGGTTTCTGCAGGAAGGGCTGGCGGCGGGGGGCTTGGACGTGGGCACTTCCTCCGAGCAGCCTTCCCTGGGCTGGGGTCCGATGTCTGGCCTCCCCCGCGGCCCCTTCTCTGTCCCTCCGCCCGGTCCCAGGTGGCCAGCGGGCCCCTCTCAGCAGCACAAGCTGCAAGACCTACTTCTCCTGGGATTGGGGGTCCCAGAGAAAGGACGAAACCAGGAAGCAAGGCTGGACCCCACTCCTCAAGGCTCCTCGACCATTTCTGGGGATTTCTCACTGGATGTGTCTCTCCTTGGCCCCGTCCCTCCCTCTTGTCCTCCTTCTCTCCCAGCCCCCCTGCAGCCTTTTCTCTCTGGGACAACCCCCAAATCTTTCCCATCCTGTGACTCCCGGGGACGTCACTTGAACAACCAAAATGACCCTCAGGATATTTCCCTCAACAAAAGACCCGTTCTCTCCCTTCGAGGAAATCAGCTCAGACCATCACTTGGGCTGGAAACCCTGACTGCCCTGTAAGCCCACACGTCTGTCTTTTCTCCTTTCCCCTCTCTCCCTCACTCACGGAGCACTGTGCTGGGGAAGCAGCTCAAAGTAGCTTTCGGAGAAATTTGAGTAAACTTGGATTTATTTCGGGGGCTAATTAAGAAAAAAAAAACCACCCTCCCACAAAGAGGGTATAATATCAGTTCATTAACGAAACAACAAAACACATTCGCGTCTTTTCCAAGAGGCAAAGTGGCTTTGACCACTGTGGTTGGTACCGGAGTGTCAGCCTCTCAGAGTGTCAGCGATTCACGGGTGTAGACAAATGTCACCCTACGGAGCTCCCAAATGAGCAAAGCTGAATTCCAGCCACGTGTCATTTTTCCTGCGTGATGAGGGTCTCAGACGCCACCGGCCTAGTATTTCAAGCTCCGAATGCCATGGCCAAGCCTTGCTTCTTCAAAGGACTAGTTCAAGGAGCCCAGTGGGTCCTGAGTTGCGTGGTCTCCCTGTATTTCCAAAGGCTCTCCCCGAGCTCAGGTCTCCAACGGGGACCTTGGGGGTGGGGGACAAGGCTCTGTGAACACATTTCTAGCTTCTGTAGCTCTCTGTCAGAGAATGTTTTTTTGCCAACGTAGATGTTCATCTCGGGCCACGGACGTCTGCCATTTCTGTTTTAGTCCCAAGTGATGCATTTATTCCCCCTTCTTTCCTTGCTCTGGGGAGGAGGCCTGCAGCCTTGTGGGACAGGCAGCCCGTCATTCCACCTGCCTGTGGAATGGAAGAACATGGAGGCCACCACAGTGTCTCCAGGCGTTGCTCCTGCAGATGGGCCAACATGGAAGCGTCCCTGTGATGACACTTCTCTTCTCCTTCTTGCCTGGGCCGGCGTCATGCTTGTCCCTCTCTCTGTGTCCCGCTCTCCGGAGCTCTCCTTTCTGCTTCTTTGCCTGGGAAATTCGTACTCTTTGCTCAAGAACCAGACAAAAAGCATCTCTCTAGGGAGCCTCGTTCACCCCTCTGCTTCCTCGGGAGCCCTGGTGGCATCTCGTTGGTGCTGCCGGATGCAAACTCCAGGCGAGTAGGAGATGGGCGCTTGGGGGCCGGTCCGGCTCCTTCCAAGGCTGCGTCATGAAGGAGCCTGAGACCGCATCCAGGCTCCGTGGGGAGAACACGGTGGCCAGGGACTGCCCAGGCCACGGCAGGTGCGGCAGAGGGCAGCGGAGGTGTAGGTCCCGAGGGCCTGGCATCCTTGTGGCATGCTTGTGATGGAGAGCCGTGCGGGAAGGGGCTGGCCCGCACTCGCCTCCGAGTGTTCTCACCTGAGGTTTGCGAAGGCCAGGTGCCGGCTCTCCCCCTCCCCGGGGCAGGGCTTCACCTGGAGGCAGCCGCCCTCCACACCCCAAGCTTTGTGTCCCTGTCACACGGGCCCCAGGGCCTTGACGCTCGGCAAGGAGGAGGTGTGTGCAGGACGCGGGCTCCCTGGAAGCCGTGGGGGCAGCGCCGGGGAGGAAGGGGCCCCCGTGTGCAGAGCCGCCGGGGAGCCCGTCATGGGAGCAGCTGGGCGCGGGCTCTCCAGTGCCAGCCCGCGTGCGCCTGGCCTCTCACGGCTGGAGGCCACCGTTTTCACGTGGCCTCGCTTCCTGTTTACACCACAGGAAGCCGGAGAGCAGCTGCCACCATCACCGCTGCTGCAGGAAGACTCAGCAGGGAGAGCCCCCCGCGCCCTTACCTGCTCCCCGGGGCCTGCGGTGGGCCCGCCGACGCCACCCTGCTCGGAGGCCGAGCCCGGGAGGAGAGGAGGCAGCCCAGGTAGGCTTTCAGCTCGGGCTTCCCGAAGGCAGGAAGGAAGGACCTTCTGGGTCAAGGTCCAGGAACGAGGTAAGGATGTGGGATTGCGCTGAGGACGGAGGGCTGTGCCCGACGAGGGCTGTGCAGGTTGGTGAGCAGGCAGGAGCCCCGAGGTGCCCGTGCAGCAGGACGTATGAAGGCTGGGGACCCCGTGGTCGGACTGGCGATGCCGTGGAGGGGCTCGGTCCGGGCAGTCGGCGGGAGGACGGAGGGGGACGGCACTCGAGCGCGCGGCGTCCTGCGTGTCCCAGGCTGAGGATGCAGCATCGCGTTCGCGGGCGGGCGCTGTGTCCGTGAGGCTGGCGAATGCTGGCTTCCTGAGGCTCCGTGCCAGGTGCTGGAGGGGAGGAGGGACAGAGGGACAGAGAGCGGGGCAAGCCAGGTCGGGCCATGAAGGAGCTCCCCAGCAGCAGTGGCTATACCCACCATATGCCTGTTGGAGAAACGCTCCGTGAAAAGTGCATGTGTGGCTCCCGGAGGGTTGGGGGGGGCGCTGTGAGTGGAAACATCTGACCCATCTCGCCCTGAGCAGGTGCCCCACAGTGGTGGGCTCCCCTCCTCCACTCTCCCTTCCCTTAGTCACCCCAATTGAGGAACACAGCAGAGAATAGCCCGGTGCTCTGCTCGCAAGAGTGCCTCACCCCCGTGTGCCAAGGGCTTCCTGGCAGGACCTCTGACTGCGGAGCTTTAGGACAGTCCCTTGCAACAGAGCAACAGATAAATGCAGAACCAGGCTGGGAGGCCTGGGGCCCCCGGCAAAGCCCCGGAATGCATAATAACCACGCAGCTCTTCCGGATTATGCAGAGCATCTCCAATACCTTGGAGGCTTAACGCTCTCACGGTTTGCTTCCCTGGAGGCCCCGCACAGAGACGGGGACAGCAGGGGTCAGTCCTCCTCACGCTGGGCTGCTTCCGGGTATCAAGCATCCCCCAGAGCACAAATCCAGAGCAGCGTACTCTTCACCAGGGCAAGGTCAGACCGGGGTGGGGGGGCCACGGGAAGGTCCACGTCCACTTGGCGTCTTTACTGCGTGGGGCTCGGGGGCCGGCCTCGCTCTGTCTCTGGGTGAGAGAGTCTCCCCACCTTTCTAGAGGGGATGCGCAGATATGTAAGATGCTGAGCAGCGAGAGGGGGTTAAGAACCGAGGTGAGCTGGGGTGTGCCCCGTCTGAAGGCACGCACTTTGGCAGTGCTTTTTAATGAGATGGGTGATTGAAAGCAAGAATGGCCACCAATCTGGGACCTTTGGCTTACAAGTTTTAAAAGATACTAAAATTACTTTGGCTTTTAAATTTGCAATGACTTATGAGCAGTTTGCCTTAGTGCAGTGGAAAGGACGCTAAGAATCAGGAGGTTCTGTGGGGTCTCGCCTTCGCTGTGCCAACGGGTGATCCCTTACCCGTGTGGATGTTGGATTTCTCAGTTGTGAAATACCAGAGATTGGCCCACATATTCTCTGCAGACCCTTCCAGCTCTAAAATGCAGAGAAGCTAAGTCTTGGTTCTGTGGTGCAGAGAATGGTGCCGGGGGTGGGGATGTGGTGTAGCTGCCCCCCCAACCAGGGCCCAGCACACGGGCTGGTCTCCGCCCCCAGAACGCTCCTTGCTATCTAGCTCTGAAACCAGGACAGGGGCGTAACGCTCAGCTTGGGCCTTGTTTCTGCTCCCCAGGGATTCAAACATCCCCAGCCAAACACCCCCTCCTTAAGAGGCAGGCTCGGATGGACTGTAGCCTTGATATCACCACCGAAGACCCCTGGGTTAGAATTTCTGACTGCATCAAAAACCTGTTTAGCCCCATCATGAGCGAGAACCACGGCCACCTGCCTCTGCCACCCAGCGTCAGTCTGGGTGAAGAAGACGGGGTGCGGGGCCCCCCAGACGGGACGCCGCCCAAGCCGGATGCCACGGGCGGTGCTCCCAAAGCTCACAAGTCGGTGGACAGTGGCACCGTGAAGAAGGGTCCCCCCGTGGCCCCCAAGCCAGCCTGGTTTCGCCAAAGCTTGAAAAGTTTGAGGACGCGTGCCCTGGAGCCGAGGCGGCCGCCTGACGCGGCCTCCCCGGCCCAGTCGATCCCCGCGCCCCGGGAGCGCCCGGGGCCACCCACTCGGACCTTCTCCTCCTCCATCCAACAGAGGATCAGCTCCTTTGAGACCTTCGGCTCCTCACAGCTGCCCAACAGAGGAGCGCAGAGACTGAGCCTGCAGGCCTCCTGGGGGGAAGCAGCACAGACTCCTGGGGAACAAGCGGGAGGACAGGTCGCTGGCCTCTCGGGCCGAGGGGCCGCCCCCACCGTCCAGCCGCAACCAGCGGAGGAAGAGCACCTGCCGCGGGGCTCGCCCACCTCCTCCGAGACCGGTGAGCCGAGTGTGTCGGGGTCGCCTCTGCCAGGACAGCAGTCCAGCCAGAAAAGCCCCCTCCCTGACCCCGACCCTCTCTCGAGGCTGTTGTCCTCACGGACTGAGGAGCCCCGAGGCCCTGTTGTCAAGATGCCGGGTCAGCGGGCGCGGAGCTTCCCCCTGTCCAGGACCCAGTCCTGGGAGACGAAGCTGCTGGATGAGAAGACCAGCAAGCTCTACTCCATCAGCAGCCAAGTGTCGTCGGCGGTCATGAAGTCCCTGCTGTGCCTTCCGTCTTCCGTCTCCTGGGGCCAGACTCCCTGCAGCCCCAAGGAAGGGGGTTCTCCCCCGTCGTTGGCCGGGGATGCCCCAGCTGTGAACAGTTCTGCGGAAGCTCCTGCCTCGGACACAGGCTTCTCACTCAAGTGAGTGTGCCCAGGATCTCCTCCAGCTTCCTGTCTTCCTGTTCTTTCTCGTCTTTCTTTCATAACCGTGCATAACTTTATTTAAAACAACGTCTCGGGTACCCTAAGGGATTGTTCTACCTGTTCTTTCCTGGGCGTGGGCGTGTGCATTACACCCTCCGTATGAAGGAGGAGTTTCACAACCCCTGGTCTGGGGGTGGGGAGGCGCTGGTGGTCCCTGGTGCGTGGCCCATGGAGGTTTGGAAAGCGAATGCACATCAGACGTGTCCCACTCCTGCTCAGGAAGTTCAGACTGGAGCCGGCAGAGGATGACCCTCTCCCCTCCTCACCCCCTGAAGGAATCCACACATACTCTGTACGTGGCTTCCGGCCCCTGGACTGGGCGTCAGGATGTCTGGGACCCAGTCCTAGCTCTGGCGCTGACTCCCTGGCCACGAGCGGGCTCCTCACGCTCAGTTTGCCCTTCCGCTGAGATTAGGAGGTGCGCAGGACCTGCTCCCTGGGGTGAGGGGAGCTCCAGTTCCCCGGGGCTCCCACTGTGGGATGAGATCCTGCCTTGAATTGGAACAACTCTGCATTTACCAGCTTTACTTCTTATTCTTAGACTGCTGAGAAAGGTTTGAGACCCATTGACCCTGATGTTTCATGTTCCAGCCCCAGCAGACAGCCTGGGAGGGAACAGGATTGAGCCTGGAACACACATCTAGAGCAGGGTCTCAAGAGCCAGACCGACCCCATGGGTAGCTCCCGGGAGCCGGGCAGATGTAGAGACGCCCCATAAAGTTGAGGTTTCCCAGGAGCTGGCTCTCTCTGGCTGAGAAGCTACTCTCCAGTTGGAACTGGGAGGCTCACCATCAGAATGTACTCTGCCGCGGAATCTCTTCACCTGCTGGCAGTAAATGTCTGCCCATCAGAGGGAGGAAAAATGTCTTCCCATTGAAACCACAGTTTCCTGCAAAGAATGAGGCGTAGCTGAAAAAAAGCTGGCTACAGGTATCAAAACACGTTCCAGAGGAAAAGGAAGGCCAGTTGCTGGGTGCATGGGCACTATTTGTGGTTATTAGGTGCTAATAATGGGGGGGATACGCAGGTACTGAGGGCAGGCGTGAAGGAGCGCAGAGGTGAGTGTGTGCGAGGTGCCATGGCCATGATCCGACTGCGGTGTTGGGGCCAACTGTCCAAAGCATCCGCTGTACCCTGGGGTGAGGTGCTGACATTTGGAAACCCTGACCGGGAGTCCGACACACCATGATCTGTGATTGTGAATCCCGGATCTGGGCATTTCACAGCCGTGTGAGCACAGACAAGGGTTCACCCTCCGTAAGCCTCAATGTCCTGATGGCTTCGGTGGAGGGATGCTGGCATCTACTCAGATTTGTTACATCGTATTACAGAATGCATGTCGGTGCCCAGCCCCATGCCTGGAACAGAGTGATTACACAATGATCGTGAGCTCTTACTAATATTCTGATTCGTACCGTGTGCTGTTTCTCTATGAAAGCCTTTCAGAGCTGAGAGAGTACACAGAGGGGCTCGGGGAGCCCACGGAAGCTGACAGCTGGGACCACAGCTCCCCTCAGTCTGGCCAATTGGTCATCTCCCTGCTGAGCTCTGAGGAATTAAAGAATCTCATTGAGGAAGTGAAGGTTCTAGATGAAGCGACGTTAAAGGTAGGCTTCCTTTGTAAGCACTTACAGTGGCCAGACGGGATGCAGAAGCGGCCCCCGGGGTCCTGCCCATGGGAGAGGGACATTGCGTCACTGGATCACAGTAAGACCCGCCACTCGAGGGAAGCTTTGTAGCTTATTGAGTGCTTTTAATCATTGGCTTATTGCATCTTTTCAACCATTTTGTAGGTGAGAAAGGTAGGGCTCAAGAGTTTTCTTTCTCTAAGTTCTGTGCCACGTCTCCATCCCACGGGCTGCTGGCCAGGCGTGCGTGTCCAGGGAGACGCTTGCTTCACGGGAGCATGCTGTTATAAGCAGCCATGGGTTACCAGCTCTCACCGCGGAGACCTCCCCTGCACAGGGAGAAGTGATCGATCCCAGGGCTTGCAAGCCGCACCCCCCGCCCCGTTTCCCTCAAGTCATTGTGAAAGTCCCACTTCCCATATGCTCCTGAGCATACCCCAAAGATGCGAGGAGAGGAAGTGGCCAGGCAGAGCTGAGGTCAGCTCAGCTCAAATGAGCACTAGCTCAAGGGCTTGCCCCTCCTGGGTCGTCCCGGATCTGCAATGGCTTTTTGCACCAGAATCATCCAGACTGGGGTGAAAGCATTAAGGAGGCATCATAGCTGAAATTCCCAAGGTCAAAGGTGTTGGCTCAGCCTGAGCCACACAAGACGCTCTGGGCTGTGATTCACTCATCACCCGGACCCTGGGACCATCATCCCCCAGCTCTTCATTCCACATGGAATAACAGGGTCAAAAGTATTGTGTCAAAAACAAAGAGCTGTCTTGTCTAGGGTGTCACTGGGAGGCCATTTGTTTTTCTGCTGGGCAAGAGCAGGTAACCTGATACTTGGGTCAAAGTGGGGAGATTTGGGCCAACGCTGGGGTAGAGGTGGGTGGAGAGGTACCCTCATCCCCCTGGGTCTTGGGGACTCCCAGTCAAGGGATCACAGAGTCAGCTGCGCACCAGGAGCTCTCGTGGGGTCAGAGCAAGGGAATTCTTTGATGTAAGGTTATTCCCTAGCACCAAGGTACAAATTGGTGGCCCGAGAGCCACGTGGACCTCACGTGTATTTTATTTGGTCTGCGTGGTGACTGCTACAATTATTATATTCTAAAGATGATAAAACCTGAACGGATACCTGGGCATCTGGTTTCTCTCTTTGTTGAAAGGGAACCATCGGGTAGCACTGGGTTCTTCTGCACCAGGTTCTTCAGCATAGGAGATGGGCTCCCTGGTTCTCTGCAGAACATGGCAGAGCCGTGTTCTCCAACGGGCTGGGTTTCCAGCTGACTTAGTGGCACCCAGCCCTGTCCGAACCAGTGTGGATGCCGGCGGGGTGGCCAGGAGGGGAAAAGAGCAGCACCTGTTACTTTATTTTTTAATTTATTTATATTTATTTATTTATTTAATATTTTATTTATTTATTTGAGAGAGAGAGAGAGAATGAGAGAGAGAGCACATGAGACGGGGGAGGGTCAGAGGGAGAAGCAGACTCCCTGCTGAGCAGGGAGCCCGATGCGGGACTCGATTCCGGGACTCCAGGATCATGACCTGAGCCGAAGGCAGTCGCTTAACCAATTGAGCCACCCAGGCACCCGCACCTGTTACTTTACACATGCCTTTTCTCTCCTAAACTACCTGCAACTCCAGAAAATACAGCACTCTTGGTCTGGATGACGGAACAGGGTTGAGGAAGGGATAGAACTTGGCATGTGGCCATGCTGGGCTTGGAGATCGAGTCAGCCTGATGTTGCTCCTTAGATTGTTCAGGCTGGCGTGGCGCATGTTTTTAATATATGTGTTTCCTTCCACAGCAATTAGACAGCATCCACGTCACTGTCTTGCACAAGGAGGAAGGGGCTGGCCTTGGGTTCAGCCTGGCAGGAGGAGCGGACCTAGAGAACAAAGTGATCACGGTGAGTGGCCCAGCGCTGGGGGTGCGTGAGAGCCAATGGCCCCAGCAGAGGGAACACCTGCTAGGAAGGGCCTCTCTGGGGGTCAGACGAGTGGCTGGCACCAGGCCCCTGGGCAGGATTTTGAAGGGGAGCTGTTGGTACCCCATCCTTTATAAGAAGTATAGTCACGTCACCTACATGACTCCATATTCTACCCTCACCGTGATCCTTCACTGAACAAGGAAGGTCTCTGTGGACCCCAAACGACTTGAATATGCCAAGGGAAATCTGAATCACTTGTGGAACCTTAAAAAAAAATTACAGGTGTCTCAGCCTCACATCAGGACTGCTAGATCAGAATTTCCCGGGGTTAAAAGGGACATTTAAAAAAAACTCTGTGTGGAGGGACATTTTAAAAAACTCCAACCCACCGAATGTCACTGAAGAGTACACTTTAAAGTGGTTCATTGTATGTTACACGAATTTCAAGTCAACAACAACAAAAATTAGAAGCAAATTTTATTCAGTGTCTCTTGTTTTGGACAAAGAGACCAGTAACCTGTTCGCGACTGAACATTTAGACAGGAATGGTTTATGGTCACGGGGGCCTTCATGGAAAGCCATACAGCCGACTGAAGACGTGGCCCTGATAACATAGCACAGCTCACCTGGATGCCGAGGGGCCTCACCTGGATAGAAAGACACCTGGGGAAGGCGGGTCCTGTAAAGGAGGCTGCTTTCCTGGATTTGCCCGCTGGGACCGTCGGTGGGGGGTTGGCTTGGATGCTGGAGAGGCTGCTGATGGTCGGTTGGGGCACTGGGGCCACGCTGGAAAGAAAAAGAAGCAGTTCCCGCGAGGGTTCACAGAGCACAAGGCAGGCCGCACCCTGAGCCTTCGGATTGCGTGGTCCAGCCCCCGTTCTCTGGGGATCTGCTGGAGCCTGGGGGGAGAGTGGGGAGGCAGCTGCCCCCCATCACCTGCACCTCCTCCTGTGGACCCCATGACTCCGGCCCACACCGTCTGATCTGCACTGGGAGTAGTCCACCTGTCTATCTGACCCGATGGTTTCTGGCCATCCCATCCTCATGGACCGAGCTGTGACATGGCCGCTCCCTGTCTCCAAAGCGGGGTGCGCTGTCCTCGTCGATGGCTGTGTTGTCACAGTGTATTCTATATGTGGGCTCACACGCATCCCCTTGCCCAGCTGGAAACATACCCTCCAGCTCCTCATCAGCCAGCATGAAACACACCACACCTCCTGGCGGGTGACCTGGCCCATTCCTATTGGTCAGTTCAGAGCCTCCCATGTGTGAGCAGGGACTTCCTTCTCTGCAAGCAGGCTCTCGACCACAAAAAAAGCACATAAAACCACCCAGGACCTATTTCTGTCCCTAAGCATGCAGCAGCGGACTACAAGGGGGCTCCTGGCTGTGTAGTTGACTTTCCATTGGAGGAGAAGTGAGAACTGGCCTGTGAGAATAGTACTTGGGATCTTTGGGTCTGCCCCGAGTGGTGACTTCTCTCCACCCCATTTGGCCAGCCACCCCGAGACACGGCAGCCCCTCAAACACCAGGAGGAAGCAACGCACATGGGCCAGGCATCTGCGCCAGACTTCCTCTTTCTCCCTCCATGCGTGAACACTTCGGTTCCTTTCCCGAGTCATTGCAAGAGAACTAATGTTGAGCCCCGTCCATGACCGAGGGCCATGATGGGCACTCACTGGCTTGTCTAAACCCATCTTCCCCATGACTCGGGGCGGCGGCGGGGGGGCGGGGGCTGGACGTGGAGGGACTACGGCAGAGGGACTCAGATGCCCAGCAGAGCTTCTGCCTCATGCTTGGGTCTCATATGGAGGCTGGGGATCCTTGCCACATCCGACGGCATCACAGAATTTTCCGGACACCAAAATAACTTAGAGAAACAGACAGCTTGGCTTCCATGACGATGGAGCACATCTCAGTGACCACCAGTGCATGCTGTCATGCAATCCTCTTAATGATGCACTTTAGACTTGACCTCATTAAAGAGGCAGAGGCAAAAACATGAAATGTTTAAAAATCCCACATATTTTGCTGAAAGGAGACCACAAGGGGTGGCTAGGGCATTGTGTTAGGAAGGGTTCTGAGGACCAGTCTGGCCATTATTGCTGGCGATCTCCGCTCTGGGTGGCTAGGTTTGACTAACTGGTCCGGGTCATCCTCCAGCAAGGATCTGGATCTGACGCCGGGTGATTCCTGGGTCTTGACTTCCTTTGGTTTGTTCAGGTCCACAGAGTGTTCCCCAACGGGCTGGCCTCCCAGGAGGGAACTATTCAGAAGGGCAATGAGGTTCTATCCATCAACGGCAAGTCCCTCAAAGGGGCCACACACAACGATGCCCTGGCCATCCTCCGCCAAGCTCGGGACCCCAGGCAAGCCGTGATTGTCACCCGGAAGCCGGCTCTGGAGGCCACGCCCGACCTGAACTCCTCCACGGATTCCTCGGCCTCAGTCTCTGTGGCCAGCGAGGTTTCTGTAGATTCCAGTAAGTGCCCCCGAGCTTGGCGGAGGCCCTGTGGGCCACATCGCCTTTGGCCACGTGGGGTGGGTGCTGCTGGGACCACTCAGTCATGCGTGGCCTGCCCGGCAGGCTGCTGGGGACGCGTGTCCATGTTTATATGTGCGTGGGCATGGGTGCTGGTCCAGCAGGTGGGCTTCCCCGGCTCACGTGCTTCCTGGAGGAGGGTGTCCCTGACAATGTCCCTGTGTTCCCCCCACAGCAGAGGCCACGGTGCACACGGTGACGCTGCAGAAGACCTCTGCGGGGCTGGGCTTCAGCCTGGAAGGCGGGAAGGGCTCCCTGCTCGGGGACAAGCCTCTCACCGTGAACAGGATTTTCAAAGGTGTGGTGTGCATCTGCGTCTTTGCACTCTCTCCAGCTGTGTGTTTCTGTAGATTCCAGTAAGTGCCCCAGAGCTTGGGGTTCCCACCACCCCATGCCCTCCCGGAGGCAGGCAGGCAGGCCGGCCACGTAGGGACTCGATTCTGCTTTTTCTAGCTTTTCTCCTCGGCTCAGGACACCTGACTCCTTCTCACCTGCTGGGTCCTCGTAAGTGACTGAGCCCTGGGCTTGGTTCAGCTGGGCAGGGCTGGGACTAGGCTAGGCGGGGCAGGCATGGCCCGAGGCGCAGCACAGAAGGGGGCCCCCAAACCCGCAGTAGCCAATCTCAACGCGCTATTTCTTTTTTTTTTTTTTAAAGATTTTATTTATTTATTCATGAGAGATAGAGAGAGAGAGAGAGGCAGAGGCAGAGGGAGAAGCAGGCTCCCCGCGGAGCAGGGAGCCCGATGCGGGACTCGATCCCAGGACCCTGGGATCATGACCTGAGCTGAAGGCAGACGCTTAACCGACTGAGCCACCCAGGCGTCCCATCAACGCGCTATTTCTGAAAATTAAAATTAATTAAACAAAATCCATAATGAACAAAATATCAAAGTTTAAAATAAGGACAGAGTCTTTCCACTTGTATATACTCAGCCTCACTCGCCTCCCTCTAACCCTGGACCCATCAGCCCCTGTTTTTATTCAAAACGTTGATGTTTTGTTCATCATGGCTTGAGGCGCAAGCCGGCTGAAAGTGGGCATCACTCGGGTTTTCCCGTGAACATCGTGAATGGCCTGCAGCTCCCACTGACTCCTCGCTGCTCCTCAAGCTGGACCCCAGCACCGCAGAGTGGGGATCTGTGGGCAGAGAGCACTGGGCAGGAGTCAAGGGACCCGGGTTCCGGCCCCAGCTCAGCCTCTCACTTGCTGAGAGACCACGGCCCCCGGGGCGGGGGCTCCTCATGCACACAGAGCTGTGGGGTGTGTTTGGACCCAGGTGCACGGAGGCTCACTGGGGGGGGGGTCCCCAGGAGTCCATGTTTACCCCAACTCTGGAAAGACGTTTTTGACTTTCGAAGGTGGACTAGCAGCTCTGAAGCTCGGCTGGCTACCCGAGTCCTCGGGCACCTGGCAGGTGCAAAGGGACGATTGTCCCGCACGCAGTGTTAGCAGGACACCTGATAGGCACAAGGGCCCGAAATACTTCAGCAGGTTTTTATTCTCATTACTATTGGCCTTTAGTCACTATTTCTGAATATCAAACGGATGGGAAATCCTCTTTTAATATAAACAATAAAGTAACACTCTTCTGAAAGATGAAAGCCATACACGATGTCCTCTTACATGCACGCAGGGGTCCCCTCCAGACCGTTCAGAGATAGCACACCGTGAAGGTTCACCAGTCCCCTTCCCACACCGCCCGGTGTCTAGGGAGCTCATTAGAAGGGGAGAGACCACATGTGGACCAGGGTGTGGGGCTGGTGTCCATAGAGGCTCAGGGGAGCCGCTCCCCAGAGGCCTCTATGATCCATGAAGTCTCCTCAACCCGGCTCTGGGCTCGGGGCTGCCCAGAACCTCCCTTCTCTGGGGACACATAGGCTACACCTTTCCCAAGGGCCACAGAGCTGGAGCGTGACGTGCCCACCTCGAGGTCACCGTCTGAGGAGATGCCTCGTTTCAGACCCACCGCCAAGCTCCTGAGGGATGGGCACCCTGTTCCCTCCTGAGCTGTCCTGGCTCCTCGGACACTGAGGGTCGGAGGTAACCTTCCTTGTTCCCTGGTCATCCGTGCAACCTGTTATCTTCTCCTCCCCCCTCAGGGGCAGCCTCGGAGCAGAGCGAGACCGTCGAACCAGGAGATGAAATCTTACACTTGGCTGGCACGGCCATGCAGGGCCTCACGCGGTTTGAAGCCTGGAACATCATCAAGACGTTGCCTGATGGACCGGTCACGATTGTCATCAGGAGGAAAAGCCTGCAGGCCAAGGGGACCACAGCAGCCGGAGACCCCTAGGCCAAGTAACCGTGCCAAAGCCAGTTCACCTCGCTCCTCACAGCCGCGAATTCTCAGGGTCGCTGCTAATCCCCGCCCGGATGGGGAGAAGCAGAGATGTGCTTCCTGGAGGCCGCTGCCCTGGTCCCGACCTTCTGGGATGCCACCCAGCAAGAGGGTTGTCCCCAAAGGAAGGGAGAGTCACTCCGGGATGGCCGATACAGACTATGTCTAGAGAGCGTTATGATTATACTGTGGTGCTGTAAATAAAACAGATAGGTTATAGTTTGGTATGAAATCCATGTCCTGCTTTGCGGATTTTCCAAGCCCTCTAACGGTGTAACGATTCACACCCCAGACAGCGTTCGCTTTTCTCACGAATCTGCCATGTGGGCAGGCTCGGAGGGGACAGGCCATGCTGCTTTCCTGGGCATCCGCCCGAGCAACTCAGAGGCTGGGGGCTGCAACGACCCAGAGGGTTTCTCTCACACCTCTGGCAGCTGATGTTGGCTGTTGGCCGGGAACTGAGCTGGGCCGTCAGCCTGGACACTCACAGGGGGCCTCGCCCCGGGCCTGGGCTTCCTCACTACGTGGCGGCTGGGTGCAAGGGTGAGAGCCAGGTAGAAGGTGTGTCCTTCTTATGAGCCGGCCTCGGAGCCCCAAGGCATCTTCTGCTGGACCTTATCAGGGGGCGCTGGCCCAGGTGCAAGGCGAGGGGAGACGCTGTGGGGCTATTTTGGGAAAACACAATCTACCACACAAAACAGTTGCAAAGCTGGTTTTGGCTGGGTTGGAGACATGGTCCTAGGCCTAGGGTGGTACCGGGTGGTGGGGCAAGGACGCCAGGAGGACAGGTGAGACTCAAAACGTGGGCAGGTGTGGCAACAGCATGGACCAGCACGCGTACGAGAGGGTAAACGAGAAATTGCTACCATTTACCTACCCCGCGCCGAGCACTGGGCTGGCGTTCAGTGGACACGGTCTTTATCTATTTTTTTATTTTTTAATTTTTTTTAAAGATTTTATTTATTTATTTGACAGAGACAGCGAGAGAGGGAACACAAGCAGGGGGAGTGGGAGAGGGAGAAGCAGACTTCCTGCAGAGCAGGGAGCCCGATGTGGGGCTCGATCCCAGGACCCCGGGATCATGACCTGAGCCGAAGGCAGACGCTCAACGACTGAGCCACCCAGGGGCCCAAAGATTTTATTTATTTATTTGACAGAGACACAGCGAGAGAGGGAACACAAGCCGGGGGAGCGGGAGAGGGAGAAGCAGGCTTCCTGCAGAGCAGGGAGCCCGATGCGGGGCTCCATCCCAGGACCTGGAATCATGATCTGAGCCGAAGGCAGACGCTTAATGACTGAGCCACCCAGGCACCCCTAAAGTGCTTTAAATCTTAACCAAATGCTTAGGAAAATGTAGTCAAAATTTTTTAGAGATTTATTTATTTATTTATCTCTTTATCTATCTATCTATCTATTTATTTATTTATTTGACACAGAGAGACACAGCGAGAGAGGGAACACAAGCAGGGGGAGTGGGAGAGGGAGAAGCGGGCTTCCCGCGGAGCAGGGAGCCCAACGTGGGGCTCAATCCCAGGACCCTGGGATCGTGACCTGAGCCGAAGGCAGACGCTTAACGACTGAGCCACCCAGGCGCCCCTGGACACGGTCTTTAATAATCACAGTGGTACCTACCTACTGATGAGGGCACCAAGACCGGGAGACAGCAGGTGACCCATCCGAGCTGGTGGATGATGGGGCAGAGGTTAAGTCCTGCTTTTCTGGGATCTGGTACAGACGGAACAGTGCCTGACCAAAGGGGTATTTGGTTTGTTCAACTCTTAATGCCTGACGGCCACACTCAGGACAAAGGTGCGTGTTAGCAGCAACAGACCCCCGGCAGCGTCCCAGCCCTGCCCCAGCCCTGTAATCACGGTGGAAACTGGAGGCAACATGCAAACGAGTTATGCCCAGGCCAGGAGCGCTGGGGCCATGTCAGTGGAATCTGGTGGCTTCTCCAGGGTCCACAGGAAGCAAAGACTGTTTCCTGGCAGTGAACTCGTAGAAAACCCGCCGGGGGCCCCTCTTCACGCAAACGCTGTGGGTGATGTCACCGCAGTGGGCATCAGCTCGGTGACCCATTCATCCCGGGAAGCAGTGGGCTTACGGTAGTCGCATCCTGCTTCCTGCCTTGTGCATCCCTTCTGAATTTTGTCAAGCCCTACACACAGACAAGGACTCTGAGACACCGTGTGGACCGGTTCTTCAGGTTTAATGAACACCGACGATCGCCGCGATCCAGCCCTGGAAGGCTAACTGAATTCCACATGCACTCCACAGGATCCTACCTGTCCTGCCCTGGGCTGGCCGATGAGGCCACGCAGACTCAGAGGTACACCCAGCCCCCCGCCATCTCGCAGAGACAACTGGGCAACTGCCGGGCAAGCAGCCAGGTCAGGCCTGTGGTCCAGCCCAGGGAAGGAGGAAGGGCCTTCCGTCAGCCCTGGGAGCCAGTTACACACAGAAGCACAGGGTGGGCCATGGGCCAGGGACACAGAGAAGGCGTCCTGCACGTCTGGCAGGCTTGTCTCAGGACTAGGGCACAGCTAGGACTGAGCCCGCAGTCCTCCCAGTCCCTCCTCCTGCTTCAGAAGGTCCCCCTCTCCCCAACTCAGGACGCCACCACGGGTCAAGTTTCCAGTCTCCAGGCTCAGGGGCTGGGGTGGGGTGGGGGGATCCTCAGTCCAGGAGCCAGCAAGGTCTTAACACGAGAGCTCATCCATTAGCACTTCGTGGTGCTGGATTTACATGAGACATTCGGCTGTCCCTGGCCAACGTCTTCAGAGCGGAGGAGAGGCACAGAACAGCGCCTCGGCAAGCGGTTTCCGGTCATCCCCAAACACCGCCAGGGACCCACTTCCACCCCATGGACATGCACCCTCCCCAGGGCCTCTCCCAGGCTGCCCCGGTGCTTTGCTTTGAGCCGTGTCTTACCAGACCATACATCATTTCATCTGCACGGACTCAAGCAGCAGGCTACGTCCGGATTGCTATTCACGTCCCCACATTGTCCTATAAGTCAGGACGTCGAAGCAGGGGCAGGTGAAAGCACTGTTCAGGAACAGAAATTCCGAGTGCGTGGTAGGCGCCGGACCAGGTGCATGTTTTCAGACTCCTAGTCCAGCGCACAGTTTCACCCGATGGAGCCCGTGACCCAGGTCCTCGGGGGGCCGGCTTTCCACCCTGCTCGACAGGGTGGCATGGCGGCTTCCGGGGTCTCCTGAGCTGGTGCCCAGCAGAGTAAGGACCTGCTACGTACTTATTGAGGGGATGAAATCTAAATAAATCCAAGAGTCTGATGAAGATTTCTTGGTAAGTTAGCTGGATCATCCCAACGGCATGACTGTGGGGTCTGTAGTCACACCACAACCCATAAGAAGGCGGCTCTCTCTAAGCCCTTGACACGGAGCTTTCCTGTTTCAAAGCTTGCTCGCACGTCGGCACATTCGGAGACAGACACCCCAGGACTCGAGGGTGGGGAATAAGCTACTGCGCACAAGGGGGCTGTCTTCCACTTGTCCTCACTGCCGACACGAGGACACTGTGGCCAGACACGGGGGTGTCCCTCACCCGCAGGCTGAGCGGTCCCGACCGGAGACAGGGAAGGGACCTCGAGTGACTGCCGAGGCCCCTTCCGGGTGGCAAGGCCGTGCTCCCCGGTCCGACGACCCACACTCTGGGCCAGGCTGGTGCGGGCCCGTGCGGTCTCAGAGCAGAGCCCGGAGTGGGGACTCCAGCCAGGGCCGCCGGAGGGGACCTGCCCTCCCGTCCTGAATGCTGACAGCAGTGTGGCCCGACCAGCGAGGACTCCAGCCCGGCCTCCAGACAGCGGGGAGGAGAAGGCGAACGCCGAGGGAGAGAAGGTGCTCCTCAGAGGCAGGAGAGGCCTGCCCGCTCACCATCATTCCAGACACCACCCGCCCCAAGGCGGCAGTCGGCTTGGTGCAGATGCAGGCTGCCTGGGTTCGCTGGGGACACGGCAGTTAGCGCAGCAGCAGAGAGCGGAAACGACCGATTCAGAAAGAAACACTGAATGTATTTTTCCTCGGCGCTTATCTCATTTGTTAAAACAATATTTTCCAAGCCGTTATCTTTTTAAGGGGGGAAATCTGGTGCAGTGTTATCAGGCTGGAGGGCACCGGATACTCACGAGGCAGCAGAGCCTGGCTCTCGGTGTTGATGGGGGTTCTTTCTGGCAGACGGGGCGGGGTGGGGGGCAGGCGGTCTGTGGCGGAGACTGGCACACGCAGGCTTCAGACCGGAGCGCGTGCCCTGGGGTCCACTGGCTGCAGGTGTGGGGACAACCAGCAGAGAGGGCACAAGAGTGACTCCCCCAAGCCAGCCCCGAGGGGGCAGGGGAGTGGGGCGGCGGGGGCCACTCCGGCCAGCTTCTCGGAGACGAGCTGTCCCCAAGTGGGTCCCAAAGGCTGAAAACCGGCCCTCGGGGCTCTCCGGTACCCCGCCATCGGGAGCTCTGCGTGAGTCACGGGAGCCCTCGGCCAGCAGGTGAGAACGTCAGTCGTACAAGGTCCTCACGGCTTTCTCCAGGTTGGCGTAGAACCCCGCCATGCTGCGGGGGAAGAAGGAGTCCACCACGCTCCGCGGGAGGTAGCCGCTGAGGTCGGTCTGGAAGAACGTGACCAGGTTGGTCTTGTCGGGCTCCCTAGGGAAACAGAGGCAGAGCTGCATCACGCGTCTGGAGCAGGGCGCTGGGGCCGGGCACCGGGCCACCGAGGAGCGCTCACCCTGGGAGACAAGGCTGTGACACTGGGATTCGTCATCAGGAACCCCACCCAGCACGGCACCTGTCCGTCAGAGGCCAAGGGCCTAGACCCTTTAAAACCCTGGCCTCCTCCGAGTCGCACAGACAGGGCAACTGAGGCCTGGAGGGGGCTGGGCTGGGTAGGTGAGCAACGCAAGGCAGAACCTGCTGCTCTGGTCTGTGGCTCTTCTACTCTGAGTATCGGCCCCAGGGGCTGGGGCGCCTATGTTCTCAAAAGTGCGAATGAGAAAGAGACAGTGGGACAGAACCATCCCCGAGCTCAGCTCGCGGGCTGACTGGCGGCTTAGCCTCTGGCACCTCCAGCCCATTCCTCGTGGAGGGGACGTGGGGTGGGGACAGCCGCTCCTGGCCGGTGGACAGAGGCCAGAGAGCACAGAAGCGAGGGCCTGGCCCTCCTCCGGCCCTGCACTGCCAGCCTCTGAAGCCTCCGACCCGGGAGAGATCCCTTGACCTCCCTGAGCCCGTTCTCTCCTCTGCTACGTGGGACCAGGACCTTTGCCCAGCTTGCCTTACGGGGCTGGAGGGGGAGTGACGCCTCCCACAATTCTGTCCCTTGTGCCTCTGCGTCGCTGACATGTTCAGAACAGTGCTCTGTAATGTCAAAGCCCGCGGGGCCGTAAGGCAGGTTTACTACTGCAAACTGTAATTAATGCGCCATTGAGCAGAAGGTCCACGATTAAGCTGTGGGCAGGTCTGGGCATGTCCCTCAGTCCAGGAGATTGTCCTTACCCTGGCAGAGGCTCGCAGAAGCAGCCACAAGGGTGGTTAAAGCCCCTCACATAACCTGGCTTCGGGGGACACGATGGGTGCTCCACGTTGATAGCTAGAAGACAGAGCAAAACGGGGGGTGAGCTGCGCCCTCACCCCTAGCGCATGCAGAACCCCCATCTGGAGCCCGAGGAGTCAGCACGGCGCCCCGGGGCCTGCCCCTGAGCCCCCCCACCATCCCTTACCCTCACACACACACACTCACATACGTACACATACAAACCCACACATGCACCCACCCACGTTCACGGCTTCCCAAGCCTGCGGCATCTCAGAGAAAAGAACATTCCACAGGGTAAGGCTTGGCGGCAGGAGGCAGGCACCCCCTCCGACCCACCCTCTGTCCCCACGTGGAAGATCCGCAGGAATGGCAGGGGCTGCAGCTTTCGGGAGGCAGTGGGACATGCGCCGAGGCCGGAGGGAGGGGACAGCGTGACAGCCCTGCACACCCACACTGGAGACCTTGAGCCTCAGCAGCGACGACAAGGGGTGCTGGCCACATGTGGGAGGTCACTGTCGGATGACTGGCCTGTGCACCCTCTCACCTTGGCCCCCCATGGCACGCGCTCCCCTGCACCTGGTGACACCCCGGCTGTCACTCACCATTGGAACTGAGGGTCCCATCCTCGTACTTCTTGACGAGCACCAAGTCCACGAAGTCTCTGGGGGAAATGAGCTTCATGGCAGCCGAGGGGCTGGCGGTTCTGCTCACGCAGAGCATCTGTCAAAGCACGGAGGAGTCCAGCTGCCGGCCAGAGGTCTCCTGCCCCCGCCCCACACCCAGTGTCTGGGAAACGAGGAGTCTGGCCCTCAGAGCAAGGTCCTGGGGGGAGCACCCCTTGATCCTCACCCAATCTCAGAACACCCCACCAGTCCACTTTCCCACCGCGAAGGCAAGGTCGCCCCAACCCACCCAGGCTTTATCCCACCCTTCCCCTCCTCCAGCAGCACCCACGCCCTAGGGTCACAGTGGAGAAGAACAGGTCAGGTGTAGGATGGGATGGAACTCTCTGGGGTGTGGCACGGACAAGAAGGGACTGCACTTGAAAGGACTGGGTTTTAAGACTGGGGCATGGAGTGTCTTGGCAGAGACACCTCTGCCCACAGGGTCTGAGTCTTCAGGTGGGCATGCAATCCCTGGGGGCACTGAGAATCCATGTCCAGATGACTCAGCCTCCCTGTGTTCTTCCTAAAAACACCAGCCTGAGAACAGGCTCACCTTCACACAGCCTCTCCCTTTCCACTTGTGACAAACGCACAGCACACCCTACCCATCTGGAATCTTCCTAGCAGGCACTGTCCCCGGGTGCCAAGTCTCCCAGGGCACCAGGGGGACACGTCAGGATGCTGATTCCAATAGTTGAGCAAGGCATGGCATGCTGGAGGTAGAATCCCATGTTCTCCCCTCTTATCTTTTTTAAGACCAAAGCTTGCTGGAAGAAACAAGGCAGTTTACACTTCTGAATTCTTCTCGTCCTGATTCCTGCTGCAGGATGCATCATTCCTGAAGGAGCGCTTACAGTATTGATAAGAAATGCCAAAGGCAGCAACATGTGATAAATCCATAAACTCGCACCCAGCTCTGTGTCCATCCTGCTGCCCACCTGTCACCTATCTATCCAACTCAGAATTCGAGTACTTGGGATGTCTCAAAATCAAGCTGATAAATAGCAGCCTGCATGGGAGGGCTCCTTCTCTGCATTCTCGCCGGTCCCCTGAATGGCAAGGAGGAACCACAGGTCAGCTTCTTCTCCCCTTCTCCAGAACCTCAGCTCACCAGCAGCCTGTCTTCCCCTGTTCACAGTTACTGTCCACTGAAGGCTCCACCCTCCTGTCTTTCTTTTTCTTTTAAGATTTCATTTCTAAGTCATCTCTGCATCCAACAATGTGGGGCTCGAACCGACAGCCCCGAGGTCCACAGTCACCTACTCTACTGACTGAACTAGCCAGGCGCCCCTCTCCTTCTAGCAGTAAGTCCTATCTTTTCATGGGCACATGAATTAACTTGAGAAAAGACCTCTCATTCCCCTCACCGAGAGATGTAAAATAGATTACTTTTTACGTATAATAGTCCTTCATCCACATTTGTAATATAATCATACTGTCTTAATAAATTATAATCATATCTCAATCCAGATTCTTTTTAACATGCAGAATCTTAAGGTCACAGGAGATATATTATATACATAAGTATATATACATACAATTCATGTACATATTTATGATGAAGGATGTCTCTGAAGAATAAATATATTAGGATAAAATTCGGTAGCCTATTTGCAATGGAAAAAGGAGTTCAAGAAATAATGAGGAGAACTAAGGCAAAAGAAAGTGGATAAAATTAAATTTCCTTACAACTTGCAGCCAAATGACAAATACCTGAGTCAGGCAGAGTAAGACATTCCTCCAGAACTCAGGACTGCCTTCTTGTTAATGCTTAGCTTGATCACAGCCAGGCCTCCAGGATCCTGGAAGTCTTCTTCAGCATATGAAAATCCTTTTGGGAACTCCCTTTATCTCTACCCCCCAACTTAAAACTATATATAATCAATAGCTCCTCACACTCCCAGTGCAGATCTCTCTGCTCACGGGTCCTGTCCCTGTGCTTTAATAAGAGCACCTTTCTGCACCTAACATGTCTCAAGAATTCTTTCTTCACCGTTCGCTCCTGGCCCACATCACATCAATGTATTTTTAAAATAAATGATAGTAAATAAAACTTCATGTCATGCAGATACATCTAAAAGAATGAAGTCATCGTTTTGCTCAAAATTGCCTGATTTATCACATGTTAAAAATGCCATGTTTTTAGGGGCGCCTGGTGGCTCAGTGGGTTAAGCGTCTGCCTTCGGCTCAGATCATGATCTCAGGGTCCTGGGATCGAGCCCCGCATCGGGTGCCCTGCTCAGCGGCGAGTCTGCTTCTCCCTCTCCTTCTGTGATCGCTTTCACTCTCTCTCAAATAAAGAAATAAAATCTTTTTCAAAAAAATGTCATTCTTTGCAATTTATGATGAAAATTTTGGACGTTAACTAAATGTTAGGTGTCAAGTGCATGTGTGGGGATGACGTAAGACTTCTCAGAAGTCTGTTGGAGATTGCATGCAAAACATTTGAAAACTTGCAGGACAGGACTGACAGGGTTAGGCAGGGTACAGGGGAGGGGGGAGGGAGTGGGGGCTGCTTTGGGCTCACACTGGCTCAGCCCTAAGCCAAGGACTGAGAGTCCCCTGTGGCCCCAGGCAGGGAAGCAGGAATGCCTTCCCAGAAAGCAGCAGAGTGCTCAGAGAGAGACAGGGTAGCATTGATAAGGGAGCAGAAGGCTAGCTGAGGACAAAGCACTGGCTGACAACCTGCAACCTACCCCCACCCCCCACTCCTGGGTGGGTATATGTGACATTCCTCCAGGAAACTTCCAATTATCTTACTGTTCAGGCTTTGCCAGGGGCTAAAACAACCTTAGCTTGCTAGTAGCCAAGCCTACAGTACCCCAGGGTCTTCTTTAGCATATACAAAAGTCCTTTTTCCTTACCTCCCCCAACTCCCAAGTCTAAACACCCTACAGAAATGCAGCCATGGTTACCTTCAGTAAGAAATCTCCATATATGGTCATTCTGTCACATTTGTGTTAGGTTGTAAAGGGCCTTAGCCCATGGTTTCTCAACTCGAAGCATGTGTGTATAATTATTTGTATATTGTCTTCCCAATTTTTTTACTCTCTCTGGTAGCCCTTATGTTGTTGTCCACTTAATATTTTTATCTAAATGTGCTCACTTTTATAAACTTGGACAAATTTATTTTAAAAGGATGCTACTTAACTATCTGCAAAATATACACACAAAGGATCGTAGGGTTCTAATTCGGATTCTGAGGTTGAAGCCAGCTGTCCGGTTTTGTTATAAAGGAGATTAGCCAGGTGTTAAATGGGTGTCACAACAAACTCTCCCCTTCAAGCTAGGAGAGGAATTAAAAAAGAACTGAGTCCCGGTGACATCACCATGTCTGATTCCATTTCGGTGTTTGCCTTTGTATCTCGGGGGGGGGGGGGGGGGTGTGCCCCAGCCTTCAGGAAACACCCACATAAACTCTTGACAATGAACTGAAATGTGAATTTTGGTCCAGGCCAAGAACACCTGGGTCCTCCAGATGGACCAGCACAGAACTAGGGCCTGAGGTTTCACAACACCATCTGTGGAAACACGCAAGAGGGTGTCACATCTACGGATGTCAGAATCAAACAGGTTGGCAACATCTCCCCAAGGCAACTTCATTATTAGTTTTGGCTACGAGTTTTTTTTTTCCTTCTTAACTTCTATAATCAAAACAAGGTGTGTTCTTTTTTTTTTTTTTTTTAAAGATTTTATTTATTTGTTTGAGACAGAGAGAATGAGAGACAGAGCATGAGAGGGAGGAGGGTCAGAGGGAGAAGCAGACTCCCCGCCGAGCAGGGAGCCCGATGCGGGACTCGATCCTGGGACTCCAGGATCATGACCTGAGCCGAAGGCAGTCGCTTAACCAACTGAGCCACCCAGGCGCCCCCACAAGGTGTGTTCTTAATGCTACAAATTCCTAACGCTCAATGTTCTCAGGATAGAAGCACCTAGAATTACACCACCAGCGCCATGTGGTTATTTAAATTTACCAAGAGAGTAATGAAAAATAAAGTGAACAATTCGTTTCCTCCAACTAGACACCTTTCAAGTGCTCTGTGGCTCCATGGGGGCTAGGGGCTACTGTAGTGCACAGGGGTGGTTACAGAACATTTCCATCATTCTGGAAAGTTCTACGGGGCAGCGCTAGCTTGGACGACATACCTTGTACCAATGGAGAAACTGTAATCCCTACAGCTGGGCAGAGAACCCTGGCTCCGGCCACGACTCTGGATTCATCATCACGGCCCCATCAAGGGGCACTATTTCACCCCCGAGCTGACGAATCAAATCCAGCCACAGCTTTAGCAAAGCTGAGCCCACATTCACGCTGCCCGCCTCCATAGCGCCTGCTATTTCTCTGAGCTCCGCTTAGGACCTTTCCACCCATCTGGTCACAGGGTTTCCCACCTGCAGCAGACCGGGGCTGTGCGGGGTCCTGCCCTTGCCAAAAGGTGTCCCTGACCCCCTCCAGAGGGACAGGGTCAGGTTACTTGCTAGGGTAACAGCGCTCGGAAAGACTTACATCAGTGAGGCTTTCGATAATTTCAAAGCTGCTCACGTTCTCATCCCACTTGTCTCGAAGGGTCCCAGCAAGTGGCTTAATGCAGCCCCACACCTTCTCTGGTGTCGCCTTTATGATGCCTTCTCCCCGGTACCTGGAGCACAAGAAGGAATGTGAGCCCAGGAACCCACCGAAGTTTTTGATCCTGGGATCATACAGAAGGACTAGCTGCCACATCTGTCATTGCTCTTTATGACACGCCTGCAGATCGGGGGCTGAGAGTTAACCAGCCCACCTCCCCTCAGACATGCGGAAACGGACCGTGAGTTTCCACGAGATACAGTTTGCTGGAAATGATTTAGATAATAATAACAGAAGCTTTTCCAGAAGATAATTGGCAAGTGGATTCCAGGGTGCTAGGGTGGATTGGAATTATTTTAGGAAGCAAACCCACAGAGACATCAAGAAGGAGCGGCACCTCTGACAAACTTTGACAAGGCATGCACTTACAGGTTCCCTGGAAACTCCATAGATGGCCTCCAGGAAACTGAAACTCCATTCTGTCAAAAGGCACAGAATCGTAGAATTTAGAGCTAGAAAGGCTCTGGGAGATCACCTGACCCAATCCCCTGTGCTGTACAGAAGAGCAGTCTGGAGCCTCAAGAGATGTGATCTGAACTGGCTGATTGGAAGAGCCCTGGGTGTTTTTCAACCTCCTAAAAGCCACCATGCCATTTGTCTCCTCGAGCAATTTCCATCTATTCCTTAAAAAGTAGAAGCCTCGCATAAGCAAAAACTGTTCCCGTTCCAGCCTCCTGGGAACGGGGAGAGGCTCCTGCTAAGATGAGGGCAGTCTCTGGAGCCTCACCACCATTTGCCAGCCAGGGGACCTCGGGCAAGTCGCTCAATGAAAGGGACAGATACGTATCTCCCGGGGTCCTAGTGCCCACAACAGGCCCAGGATTTTTCAAGGAAACAGCCCTCAATGGATCTACCCCTCCCCAGTCCAGCTCCAGGGTATTAGACAGCAGAAAGGAGCAGGAAGAGGAGGAGCCCGGGGTCTTCGGAGACCCCGGCGCCGGGGCGCACGCGACCCCTCCCTGCCCAGCTCCTCACTCACGCCTTCCCGGCAAATCTTCCATCCTGACTCGTCCCGTCGGTACTTGAGCACCTTCTCCGCCACCTCCTCGCTCATCTGCGCGGCCAGCGCCGGGTCCATCGCGCCAAGGGTTGCGCGCGGCTGCGGGGTCCGGGCCCGGGGGCGCCGCGGCGGAGGCCGGCTAGGGGGCCGGGAGGCCGCCGCGCCCGGGTCCGGGGCGGAGCCTCAGCCCAGGCCCCGCCCCGCGCCCCCGGATTGGCCCGGGCGGGCGGACGGGCCCCGCCCCGCCCCGAGATTGGCGGGGCCGGAGACGGCCGGCCAGGCTGGGCGGTCCTGGGCGGGCGGTGCAGACCCGCGGGGCCGCCTGCGGCCTGGGAGGGGCCTTGCGCCTCGAGCCGGGGGACGGCCCGCGGGGCCACGAGCAGCCGGGAGCGTGGACTTCCGCTCGGAGCGCCCAGAGGCCTGCGGCGGGGCGGGGCGGCGGTGCGTTCGCCTCAGCGATGACGTGGGGCGGCTGCTGCGGGGGGAGGGGGCGGGCGGGGCGGGCCGGAGAGGGTTCCTGGGGCAGGGCCCCCGGGCGGAATCTGGGGGGCGGGGCCACCGAAGCCCCGGGTGGCCCCGCCCTGCGGCCGGAGCCCCGAAGCGGCTGGCCCCGCCCTGCGGCCGGACCCCCGAAGCGGCTGGCCCCGCCCTGCGGCTGGAGCCCCGAAGCGGGTGGCCCCGCCCTGCGGCCGGACCCCCGAAGCTGCTGGCCCCGCCCTGCGGCCGGAGCCCCGGGTGGCCCCGCCCTGCGGCCGGACCCCCGAAGCTGCTGGGACCCCCGAAGCTGCTGGCTCCGCCCTGCGGCCGGACCCCCGAAGCTGCTGGCTCCGCCCTGCGGCCGGACCCCCGAAGCTGCTGGCCCCGCCCTGCGGCCGGAGCCCCGAAGCTGCTGGGACCCCCGAAGCTGCTGGCTCCGCCCTGCGGCCGGACCCCCGAAGCGGCTGGCCCCGCCCTGCGGCCGGAGCCCCGAAGCTGCTGGGACCCCCGAAGCGGCTGGCCCCGCCCTGCGGCCGGACCCCCGAAGCGGCTGGCCCCGCCCTGCGGCCGGACCCCCGAAGCGGCTGGCCCCGGCCTGCGGCCGGACCCCCGAAGCGGCTGGCCCCGGCCTGCGGCCGGAGCCCCGGGTGGCCCCGCTGGGTGGAGACCTGGCGCGTTCCGTTCCGGGCACGGGTTTTTGCTTTAATTTTTATTTGCATTCTGGTTAGTTAGCATACAGCGCGCTCTTGGTTTCAGGAGTAGTACTCGGTGGTTCATCACTTAGTACGGCGCCCAGTGCTCCTCCCAAGCGCCCTCTTTAACACCCATCCCCCACCTAGCCCACCCCTCACCCACCTCCCTCCATCAACCCTCGGTTTGTTCTCCTTCGTCTTTGGCTGTAGTGGCCGAAGGAGCTAAGTGGGGGTGTCCGGGAGGCCGAGATGCCCGGGCATCTGGGGGAGAGCCGGGCCCGGGCTAGGACGTACAGGCTTCTCCGCGAGCGGGCGGCCCAGGTCTTGGGGAGCGAGCGGGGTCACGTCCCCCGCGTGTGAATGGCAAGGGCAGTCTCGTTTTCTCCTCTTCTATAACCAACTGAATACTTGAAGAGGTCGGCACAGAGGCCTGTCTGTGCTTCTATTTGGCTACCATTTCATTTGAAGGTTTGAGACAATGGCTGTAAATGCGAGGACTACTTGAAAACCCTTTCTCGGAGGATGTGATGCGCTGTGGGGCTGTGAAGAAGCCGTGCATGGGGGATTAGGGAGTTCCAGACTCTGGACCCAGCTTCATCCAGTAGTGACTGTGTGGTTTTGGGCCAGTCCCTTAACGGCTCGGAGCCTCAGTTTGCTCCAAGGGGAAATGGGACACTAATACGCGTGCCGTTGTGATGGGCAAGTGAAGTGACACAACTGGGTATTCCTAGGAGCCATAAAAAAAAGACCGATAAGGTAACCACATTAAAAAAAAATCAAGCCTGGGTGGCCCAGTCAGTTATGGGTCTGCCTTCAGCTCCGGTCATGATCCCAGGGTCCTGGGATCGAGCCCCCCGTCAGAGAGCCCGCTTCTCCCTCTGCCTGCCGCTCCCCCCGGCTTGTGCTCTCTGACAAATAAATAAATAAAATCTTTAAAAAAAATTAAGCACATCAAAAATACCACAAAAAGTTAGGCAATAGTCTGAAGGAGAAAATGGAGCATATTTTGACTGAAAGTAAATTTTTTCATGTACAGAGTGCTCTTATAAATTATTAGGAAATTTTCAAACAACCCAACAGACAAAACTAATGCATCAGATGTGAACAGATACTCTGCAGAAAACCAAATTAACAGGGCTAATAAAGACATGAAAAGATGCAGAACCTCCTTCCTAGCTAGGGAATTTGTAATTAAAACAAGGGAGCAGGTTCACAGCTATCTGATGGGTAGATAGGAAGAGGTTTGTTAATTCCCTTTGTTGGTAAGTGTATAGAGAAACATTTTTTTTTAATTCACTGTGGGCAAGAATGTAAGTTTATGTAACCTTCTGGGAGGAAAACAACCTATCTTAAAATTTTAGTTTACTTGTGTTTTGACCCAGAGCCTCCTGCACAAAGATGCATAAGGTGCATCTTGCAACGGGAAATGATCTATTTGTCAAAAGAGTAAAGAAAGTGACAGGATATTCATTTGGTGGAATATTACGTAGCCATTAAAGCAATGTGACACAGACGAAGGAAGGTGGGATTGGAACAGGAAATGCTCTCTAGACTCAGCCAGCTGTCTAGAAACAGGAGTTGATACGAATAGACTATTCTAACCAAGTGCAATTTATTCTCTACAAAGGAAATAAATGGTATTTAAAACTTAACTTTAAAAATAACTTAATATTATTTAAATTCTTATCCTCCCCCACATGAAATGTTTTGTATGTGTACTGACAGGGAACAATGTTATATATATATATATATATATATATATATATATATACACACATTGTATACACACACATATACATATATAGTCCAATATGTAAATTGAAGGACAGGAGTATAGGTAAGTCAGTGCTCAGCTCAGATTGCCTGGGTCCAGGTCCAGATCCCAGCATCACCACTCACTAGCTGTGACCCTGGTAAGTCACTGGCCCTTGCAGACCTTAGCATCCTCCTTTGGAAAATGAGAAAAATAATGTACTAACTCATAAGGTTGACATACTGATCAAAGGTTTTAAGAGAGGGGCGCCTGGGTGGCTCAGTCGCTAAGCGTCTGCCTTCAGCTCAGGTCATGATCCTGGGGTCCTGGGATTGAGCCCCGCATGGGGCTCCCTGTTCCGTGGGAAGCCTGCTTCTCCCTCCCCCACTCTCTCTGCTTGTGTTCCCTCTCTCGCTGTGTCTCTCTCTGTCAAATAAATAAATAAAATCTTAAAAAAAAAAGGTTTTAATAGATGAATAATAATTAGAATGGTGCTTGGCATACAATCCATGATTATGTATAATATATCATATCCATAAATATCTTGAGTGAGAGAAATAACTAGAGATGTCTGTATATGTTTATACATCTACGTGTTTAGAAGACTGACTCCCGGAAAGGTTTAGAATAAACTGTGAGCCGTAGGGAGTAATGCCAAAGGAGATTACTTTCTTATTTTATTTCATCTCATACTGTTTAATTATTTTAATTACTAACATGTAAGACTTTTTAAATTACAAAGAAAAAGCCTCATTGAACAGTTCAATGTAGACTATTTTGGTAGCGCTGCAGCTCAAGACCTGGTCAGGAGGGGGCTTACCAGAATTTTGTTCGGGGATACAATGCTCTGAAAACAAAGCTGGAGGAAACTAAGTCTTGCTATAGAAAGTGACTTCCGTTAGACATCAGACACATGAGAGATTTCTATTTTTACCAAATGGAGCATTGGTTTTGAAATTTTTTTTATCGCTGTAAGAGCTTCTAATGTTTGCTCTCAGAAAATGGGAAGCCCTGGGTAGATGAAATATTCGGAGGAGAAAAGCGTCGACCCCCGAGGCCTGTGACAAATGGCAGCAGGAGACGGGCGAGGTCAGGACAGTCCTGGGGGAAGCTCCGGCCTGTCTCGCCTGGGGAGGCTGGGCAGGGCAGGATGAGAAGCTGCCTGGGCAGGAGGCAGGAGGTCCGCCCACATGGCCAGCTCATCAGTGGGGCCTGGGGCGGCAGTTCAGAGCTGATGGGAAGGAGGAGGAAGGGGGCTGTGTAGTCTCCCCCGATCAGAGCCGCTTCCGCAAGGTCCTCGGGCCTCTGAGTAACCCAGCTGTCAGGGCAGGCCTCACCAAAGTCCCAGCTGAATTTTAAATAGGTGTATACGGCGTGGGGGGCCCAGCGGTGTCCACCCCAAACCGGCTCCAACCCTAAAAGCTCCTGGATGGAGAATGTGCTTTCGCCTCCGACCGTGATGTTCGTTATGTTTGTTACGTTCGCTCAGGCAGGTGCTGTGGGCACAGATGACTCTCTTTCTGCAAGCATGTGTGTGTCTGTTTAGTCTTAGCAACAGCCGATTGTTACTGAGCTGTGCCACCTGCCGGCCAACGTCCTGGGCACTGCACTGGTGCTGGACCTTGGAATCTCACGACACCCCAGCATTAGGAGGTGCAGACCACAGTCCCATTTTACAGGTTATGAAACTGAAAATCACATCGCTAGTAAGGAGCAGAGCTGTGGTGCACACCCAGTTCCTTTTTCTGAAGGTCACGGGTTTACTTACACGCTTTACTGCCTCTTCCTCCCTGTAAGGATACACAGTGTTTAGCATGAAATGGGCAAGGAGTAAAATCAGATATTGCAACAATCTACAAACCAAAAAAAGAGGGAACACACACACACACACACACACACACAGAGTAGCTGGCAAGCAGGAATACTACCTCAGACTACAGAAGCGAGTCTTTTAAAGATGCACAGAAAACTTTTCTCTAAATGTTCTGGCCTTCACGAATTTGGAAACATAAGCAGTGACCAAGGGAGTGTCCTTAGGTTACTGAGATATTTACCAGACTGTTCCTATCAAGAGGCGTTCACGTGCCATATTTCATGGATACAGTTGTGACGATTTCTGAGACCCCAGAGGAGTCTGTTACATGGGCTTTTTTAGGAGAGATTTTTAATAATAGTGTGGGTCATATTCTCAGTGATGGTTTGACCAAAGGACAGATGTGAATCACTACACCCCACCGCCCATCACTGAGAGCCAAAGGACCATCACGGAAAGCCAAAGGAATGTTGTGAAGCGTCAGTTAGGAGAAGGTGCTCGATGGT